CCGTCGCAGCCGATAAAGCTCCGGCACAAGAAGATTTAATCGTCTAGCTCCCATTAGGAGTCTTGCATCTGTATTTTTCTTTTTTCTTTCCTTTTCTTTTCTTCTTTTCTTTTCTTTTATAACTTCTTTTATATCGTTTATATATGTATATTTATTTATTTTATATTATTAATTTTAATTTTATATTGTTATTTTTGTATTGTATTATATTTTATTGTGTTGTAAGCCGCCCTGAGGCTTTGGCAAGGGGCGGCATAGAAATGTTATAATAATAATAATAATAATAATAATAATAATAATAATAATATTTTGGACTAGTGCATTTTTCCAGTCCATTTTCAAAGGCACATACAGGGTATTATCTCAATCCGAATGGGGAGTTTGCAGAGGATGGGGTGCCTGGAGCAAGACTGATCCGTAATGACTCCCAGCCCGGGCTGCCCAGTGGCCCTGTTTACTGCCCACCCCCGTGCCCACCCCGGGTCCTGCATCAGCTTTTCTTAGTCCCCTCAGAAGAAACTTCCTGGGAAGAATCCCTGGAGAGAGTTTTTATTTTTCAACACTGGGAATGTGTGTGAATGCCTCAGCCAAAGTGTGTCAGATACTTTAACTGCTGTTACCACCAGTGCAAAAACATTTTCACAATAAAGTGTAAATTTCAATGAAAGTGTTGAATGCAGCCTCTTTACCACTTCAAGCAATCCTCCATAGAAGAGAAGAGCTGTTCCCTCAGGTTTTTCCTGAATGTGGTACAAAACCAGCTTATTCTCTCTGTGATCTGTTATTATTTCTTATATTTATATCTCTTCCCATAACCCAGAGGGCTCTCTGGACACTTTACAATACAGTAAAATCAACAGTATATCAGTAAAATTAGTGATAATACAATTAAAAACAATTTAAAATGGTACAAAAATCTGGCAGTTAACTGCAAAAAGAGAGATAAAAGCAAGGTATGGGGCAAATCAGAAATAAAAGCAATGTTAAAAACCAATTCAGGTACAATAACACCTGGAAAATAAAAAGATATTTGCCTGGTGCCAAAAAGAGAGCAGTGATGGTGCCAGGAGAACTTCCCTGGGAAGCATATGTCACAGGTTGGGTGCAACTAAAGAGAAGGCCTTCCTCCTAACCATCAGTATCCTCATGTCTTTGGGGGTCAGATCTCAGAGAAGGATGCTTCCTCTCTTACCTTCTCTTTTGTGAAAGCATCAGGTGGGCCAGTGTGGTGAAGTCCTATCGGCCTGGGTTGGGGTGTCCAAATGAATGATTTTGAGCCAGTGGCTGTTGATAGGCACCTTTACTCCCTACAGGGTTGTTCTGAGGATAAAATGGGTGTTGAGAGAAGCATCCACTTGGGGAAGTCATGATAAAACCACAGTAAGGATGCTGCCTTATGCTGAGCCAGACGCTGCCTTATGCTGAGCCTGACTGGCAGCTGCTCTCCGGGGTTTCAGGCAGGAATTTTTCCTAGCTCCACTTCAAAATGTCAGGGTGTGAGCCTAGGACCTTCTATAGGCCAAGCTTGTGCCCTTCCACTGAGCCACAGCCCATCCCCACAGTCTAAGTCAGCCTTGCCCAAACTGAACCCATCTAGGTATGTTGGACTACAACCCCAGTCTTCTGCAGCTAGCACAGAGGGTGCCATGGGAGTGAAGAGTGGCCTAAGCAAAGCAAATGTGAAGAGGGCAACCCAATGGAACATTAAGCAAGGCATGACCTGCAAATTTAGCCTTGGGTAATTTTGCTTGCAGGCAGCCCTTCTCAGAGTAGGCCCTTAGGAAGGCATGTGGGGCTTTGTCACCCCCACAGACCAAGGTGATGCAGACCCAACCCTGACTGACAACCGGTTCACTTCCCCAGAAGTCATGTTGGAGTCCTTACAGGTTTCCTCAAAATGGTTCCAGATTAGATGGACAATCTGAAAGAGAAGAATGGGTGCAGACTACCAGTCATTCCTTTTTTGACTTTGGAATTCCTTGTATCATAAATGTTTCTCTCTTTGAATAGACACAGGGTGCACAGAAGAGCATGAGGATCTTCAGCCAGAAAATACTAATTCAGTGGTGATTAAGAAGATATCCTTAGGAATTATCCAAACTGGCATCTTCCAGTATCAAGATGTCTCCAAAATCCAAAGTGGGGTACAGAGGCACCAAAGAAATGTCTCTGGGGAGAGAACAGGAAAGGCTTTAGCCTGTGGAGGAGGCAATATGAATGAAACCAAAATCCAAAACCAAGTTCACACATCTGGGAGAACTCATCCTAAAGCAGAGAAACATAGGAAACAGTTAGACTATGAGAACAGAATGGACCAGAGATATGGTCTGACTTCCTATAGCAAAGGTCCTAAAGGAGAAAAAATACATATTTGCTCAGCCTGTGGTAAAAGCTTCCCATGGAAAAGTAACCTGACTATCCATGAAAGGATCCACACTGGAGAGAGACCATATACATGCTCCATCTGTGGAAAAAGCTTCAGTAAAAGATCATATTGTGCTGTACACGAGCGGATGCATATGCAAGAAAAAGCATACACTTGTTCGATTTGTTCTAAAAACTTTTCACATAAAGTCAGCCTTATTAGACATGAACAAGTCCATACAGGAGAGACACCATATAAATGCTCTGCCTGTGGAAAGGGTTTCAGTCAAAGGAGTAATCTTATTTCACATGAGAGAATCCACACAGAAGAGAGGCCATATCCATGCCTCTTCTGTGGCAAAAGTTTCTAGCGAAGATCAAACCTCAACAGTCACAAAATCACCCATACACAAATAAAAACAAGCGTTTGCTCTGTCTGCGGTAAAAGCTTTGGTCACAAATCAAACCTTGTTAACCATGAAAGAACCCATACAGGAGAAAAACCATACACATGTCCAGTCTGTGGTAAAAGCTTTACTGACAAAACACATCTTATTAAGCATGGAAGGACACACACTGGGGAGAAGCCATATATGTGCTCAATCTGTGGGAATAGCTTCAGCCACAAAGCAAACCTTATTAGCCATGAAAGGAACCACACAGGAGAAAAACCATACCAATGCACAGTCTGTGGGAAATGTTTCACAGACAGAGCATACCTTCTTAAGCATCAGAGAACCCATTTGGGAGAGAAACCATATAAATGTTCTGTCTGTGGGAAGAGCTTTAGTCGTAAGGATTACCTTATTAGGCACAAAACAATTCACACAGGTGAGAAACCATACATGTGTTCGGTCTGTGGGAAGAGCTTCATGTGGAAAAGTTGCCTCTCTATCCATGAAAGAATCCGCACAGGAGAGAAGCCATATACATGCTCACTCTGTGGTAAAAGCTTCAGTGAAAAATCCTACCTTATTGTGCATGAACAAATGCACACACAGGAAAAAACTTATACATGTTTGGTCTGCCATAAAAATTTTGTTCATAAAGTAAGCCTTATTAGACATCAACGGGTACATTCAGGAGAGACACCACATAAATGTTCAGTCTGTGGGAAAAGCTTCAGTCAAAAATGTAGCCTTATTTCACACACAAGAATTCACACAGAAGACAGACCTTACACGTGTTCCTTTTGTGGTAAAAGCTTCAAACGAAGATCAAACCTCACCAGTCATGAAGGAATCCATACAGGAGAAACCCCTTATATGTGCTCAGTTTGTGGTAAAACTTTCAGTTGTAAAGACCACCTTCTTGGACATGAGAGAGCCCATACTGGGGAGAAACCATATTCATGTTCAGTTTGTGGGAAAAGCTTTGGTAATAAAGCACAGGTGGTTATTCATGAAAGTATCCATACAGGAGAAAAACCATATACTTGTTCTGTCTGTGGGAAAAAATTAAAGCACCAAGCAAATTATACTGAGCATCAGAAAATCCATACAGAGGAAAAACCATACATATGCTTAGCCTGTGATCGGAGTTTTAACTGTAAGGAATACTTGATTATTCATGAGAGAATCCACACAGGTGAGAAACCATATTCATGCTCAGTTTGTGGGAAAAGCTTCAAGCACAAATCGAGCCTTACTACACACAAGGGAAGCCACTCTGACAAAATTCAGCACTCAAGCACTGAAAGTGGAGAAACGTTTGGAAGTAATGCATGCCTGAGGAAACATGAGAAAATTCATGTGGGCTAAAGAATTGTATTGGGCTGTGCTGTAAATCCCAGGCCTTGGTCTCTGCCTCTGAAAGTACAGGCCTTGCTTAGCAGGGTAAAGTGCTGCCCCATAGTACCTTGTTTAGCTTGTTAGGTAATGTTTTCTAAAGGCCCTGAGAGAGATGGCTGAAGGACGGGCACACAACCGTCCTCTGTTTTGAGAGTGCACCTTATTGCTAACGAGCTTATGGATGCATTGTTTAATTAACTGGTGATACTGCATCCTATCATTTTGCCCACAAAGTGGGAGCAAGACTCTGAAGTTATGAGAATCTTGACTGGCACTGATGGAAGACTTCAGATGTTATGCATAGTGGCCTGCTAATGAGGATGGAAAACTGAGTATGTTAACATCTTGGGTCTGGGAATGAAGGAAGCAGACGTTTTCCCCATGTATGTCATAGACACTTGTGTAGCAGCCATCTCTTTCCCCCCTTTTTTCACAGTTAACCTATATAAGCTGGCCTTTTTTGTGTGGGTGTTGTTTGGACTGATACTTCTGAGGTGGCTCGCTGACCGTCCCTTCTAGCTGTGACTGAAGTCTGTCTTGCAGGCTAGTCCACACAAAGCATTGTTAAGTGACTTGCTACTAAATTCTTTGAAAAGCTAGCTAGTAATTTGCCTGTTGCAACAATAAAGTATCTTGGTAAGCAAACCTGAAACTAGTACATCTATTCCTTGGGATTGCTCACCTTTAGCCCATGGCTGGGGCAACACAAGAATGCACTGAGAGGAATATTCATATACCTGCTCTTTCTGAAGTAAAAATTTGAGTGGGTAGAAGAATGTTTAAATGGGAAAAATTCTGTTCAGGAGATACGTCGTATCAATAAAGCAAGCATGAAATTCAAGCCTATAAGTTCATACAACATCCCTTTATTAAGACAAACCAGGATAAAAGTGCTCAAGCTGAGAAAAATATCAATTGCAGTCTGACGCTTTGGCAACATTGGAGCACTTGCTGGAAAGGGAAATTAATAGATTAGCAATCAGAGCTCAGTACCTAATGATACTTTTCAGAAGGAGCATCTTACCACATCTTTTAAGCATCACAAGGACAGGGAGAAGAAATCACAGGACAAGAAGAAAAAGCATAATTTCTAATAACCCAAAAATCCATACCAGCAACAAATAATGCATCTCATATTTAATGATTTTATCAATTTGTCTTTCTCTCCCAATGAAGCATGTACAGTGCTATTGTGCACAAGAGTTTAAACTTTCCTTGGACTTCAACTGTCTAGAGTTCATTTCACTCTAACAAACCCTAATTGACCTATTCTAATGTCACATCTTCTTCGAATACTGTCATCATTTAAATCCCCAATTGTGTTTTCTTCTTAAGTGATCACATTGCATTCTGCTGTGAGATGAAATAAATTTTTACTTCAGCTGCAAATGTCTAAGAATATTGTATGTAACTTATTAAATAAAGCACATGAGAAACTTACATACTGTTGTCCAGGCAATATGAGACCTATGCATGATTGTCTTTCATTTATTGCAGTGAATGCACTGGAATGGATTCCAATTTTTCATCCTCAGTGCAGTGAGTGTGAGAGTTAGCTTGGTTCCTTTACAGGTATTTTCCACAGAGGGGTTTTTTTTTTTTTTTTTTGACCTTCCTATATGTTGTATTACACAACTGCATAATGACACTGTAGTAGAACAGAATTGTGGAAATACAAGTATTTAGTGTAACTTTACATACCAGCCACATAACAGCTCATTTTCCTTGCTTTAACCAAAACACAGAAAGGCTTGGAAAGCAACACATTTATTTTCAGATACGCAGGCTGAGTATAAATGGAGGCAGACACAGTAGCTAGATAGATTAACAGCCTAGTCCTCCTTGTGCTGGGGGGAGATTTTAAGAGGATGACTCTTCCCTCCTTGAGAAGCCCCGGGCAGTGTTCTTGGACCAGGGTGCCGATTTCATGCTGGCAGGAACAGGGTCAGAAAGTTCTGCAGTGTTTTATATATCCTCCCTTTTAGTGCGGTGCACACACAATGGTGAGCAAAAAGTGAATCCTGGGAGTTGCAGCAAAGCATGATGGGTCAACACCTTCGCCTCTTTTATATGTACTATAGCTGCTCAAACTCTTGGCCACTCTCCTCTTTGGGCTGTGGCCCAGAGAGAGCTCCAGAAACACTTTCATAAATTCATAGGGTAATAGGGTTGAAAGGGGCCAAGAAGGCCATTGGGTCAAACCCCCCACTGGTGCAGGATGCCATGTCACACCACCCCACTCAGAGGACTGTCCAGTTCCACCTTTAGTCTCCAAGGTGGGAGAGCCCACCACCTCTCTTGGCAACTGGTTCCACTATCATACGTACCGCTCTGACAGCCAGGAAACTTTTCCTGATGTCCAGCCTGAATCTGGTGCGCTGCGGTTTAAGTTTGTTTCATGTCCTATACTCAGGGATGAGTGGGAAGAGGTCTTTTCCTTCCTCTTTGTGACAGCCTTTGAGGTGCTTGTAGAGCACCATCATGTCCCTTCATTTTCCCTTTGAGGCTAAAGATGCCCAGTTCTTTCCATTTCTTCTCATAGGACTTAGTTTCCTGACCCTGGAGCATCTTCATTGCCCTCCTCTAAACCCATTCTAGCTTTTCAGCATCTTCTTAAAACCTGGGTGCCCGGAACTGAACACCATGTTCCATAATTTGGGCTGAGGCAATTTCCAGTATCTGTGCAAAGCATTTTACAGATCCAGTGACTCGTGATTGCAGGCACAATTTCTGCCAAGTCTGCTTGTTGCTGGGAGGAGTTAACTGCAGAGACAGCTTCTCCTGTGTTTGGAGGCACCAACCTGGCACCAAGAGGATTGAGTGGATGAAAGGACGGGGTCAGAGGGTTAACCAGAGAAAGCCCAAGGGTGAGCTGGGTGCAGGAATAGGCCAAGACATCTCATTGCCTGGAAGACAAAATGGCACCCACTTCGGGTACAGAAGCTGAGCGTGCTGATCACTGACTCTGGCTTCAATGCTGGCTGTTTCTGCTGCACCAGAGGCATCAGGGCAGATTAAGCAGATTAAGTTGCCACAAATAGCCCTGCCCTGCCCTCTGAGGCAGCTGGTCCACTCATACTATGGTAGGGCTGGCCTGAGGAGGGTGGAAGCCCATCTCCAGGGACAAGCAGGTGGGGCCGGTTTCAGGAATGAAGGAAGATGGAGAGAATGGAAAAAGCAAGTCGATTGCTGCATTTTATAGAATCCTCTAGAGGGCACTCCAGTCTAAAAATTGAGCTAAAAGGACCTGGATTCACTGTAAACCTGGAAACGAAAGCAAAGCTATAAGCGTGGTCCCTTGAACATCGCCAGAGAGAGAAAGAAGACCGATTTCCATATGTTAGCTGAGGTGTATTGATGCAAATTTTGTAATTTAGGGTGAAACGCCATACAACCTTAGATTTAAAAAGGCTACAGGTCCCTGACCAGGGGCTGATGGTAGGGCGCAATCCCTCCTCGACATGCCTCTGGCATTTCTCGTTTGGGCTTTTTTTTTCCTTTTTAACAGAATTTTATATCACCCAATAACTGAAGTACAGAAGGACAACAAAAATGATGAAGAGGCTCAGCAACGCTCCCATGAGGAGGGGCTACAACAACTGGGACTGTGTATCTTAGAAAAAAGGCAAGCAAGCAGAGGTGTGATAGAGGGGTTTAAAATAGTGCGTGGAGTGCAGAGGGAGATTTTTCTCCCTCGCCCATAACACCTGAACCCTCAGGAGGTCATCCCTCCTGCTGGAGGGATCCTGTGGGCAGCTGGTTTGCCACTGCGCATACGGAGCGCTGGACTCAATGGGCCTTAGATCTGATCCTGCAGGGTCACCTGCCTGTCCTTTCCATAATGCACTCTTTTCTCTGTGAATGAGAGTTTATTTCTTAAAGAAGAATAATCCAGATAGGTAACATTCCCCCACTCTCACCCACACATCACTTTCATCATCATCAACATGAGCATCATCATCATCTTCATCTCTATAATGTCCCACAGCAGAAGCTCTTTGGGCAGTTAACAATAATCTGTAAAAACAGGCAATAGAAATAATAAAACATTAAGCTGTTTTAAACAGCTAAAAAAAGACAGTAACAAAGAGAGATTCTGCCGAATGACCTGGCATGGGTAGCCCCCTCTGGGGGCCTCGGAAAAGAGGGCTGCCCTAATTTGACACCAAAAATTACAAATGACAGATTCGGTGCCAGCTGCGCTGCAATGGGAAGGTTGTTCCATAGGAGGGGGCCACCACAGAGGAAGCCCTCCCCGCTTGTTGCTGCCCTCTGCACTTCCCTTGGAGTTGGCACTTGGGGGAAGACCCAGAGCTTGAGCCTTGTGTCTGAGGGAATTGTGGTTGGGAGAGGCACTCCAAAGGTTCTGGCAGGCCTAAGCTTTTGATTTTGCTAACGTGAACCTGATAGGGAAGTCAGATGCCAACATGGACCTTGTCACCATACTTTTCACAGTTCTGCATTAGTGGGAATTGTCATGAAGGTGCACGGGCAAGCGTTCCCTCTTCTACACAACTATTAAAGGTGCAGAGCCCTGTTCAGTTTTGCCTCTCATTGTGAGGAACACTCTTACAGAGCAATTCCTTGCCATCCCATAATACCACATCCATGCAAATCTGCACAGGGATGGGCTGCATTAGCAAAAGCTGGTTGCTCCAAGGTCAGTGGAACAGTACACCCACTCCGGGCCTCAGCTGAAAGTCCAGAGGAGCTTATCCAAGGACCTGCCCGATTCATGTTCAGCACCACGGACAGCTCCCCCAAAGTTCCAGCTATGGCCTGGAGTCAATACACCGGCCACTGACATAAGAGCCACTGCTGGCTTCCATTTCGTCCTTCTGTTGTGGCAGGTAAGGCTACCGGTGTTGGAACCAGCCCTGCAGCTGCCCCTGCAAGAGCAGTTTGACCTGCAGCATCTAGGAAGAAGGCCCATTTAGTTCCTTCTGCGGATACCTACCCATCCTTCCACTCATTGGGATCTGTCTATCCAACCCGTCCAAGAGCAGGACTGACTGACTTTATCTCCCCCTGGTCAGCTGACAGCCCTCGGACGGAAGCTCCAAGTCCCAGGGGAGAGGGGGAAAGAAAGACAGTCCCTTCTGCATGACTGTGGGAGATGCTGGCAACTGGAACAGCGTATTTTGGAGAGGGCTGCTGCTCCCACTCTTTCAGAGAGAGAGTCTGAGCTGCGAGGCCAGGCCCCCTACCCAGAACCAAGGCAGGATTGTCTCCCCATTGAATGAGGCTGGTGAGAAGATGAAGATGGGGGTGTCGGTATCAGGATTGAGAAATGCCACCTGCTGCTTGTCATACTCAAGAGTCACCCGGATCCTCCGGAGTCTTCTGTTCAGCAGCAGGTGATGCTTTGGAGAGGTCAGGGCTTGGTAGTGGCCCCCCAGCAGCTGCCCCAAAGCCCATATTCCTTCACTGGGGCTGAACTTTAAAGGACCTTTCCTTTTAATGGATGCCACAGCGACCCCAACAGCCCAGACACCCCTCTCTTCCACCTCTACCTCCCACCAATGTGTCCCAGAAGTGAATCCGGCATGATTCACGTGTCCCAGAACGCAGGTGCAGGTATCAAATCTCTCTGGGTTACTGGGCAGCTTCTGCTGGGTGCACTGGAGTCTCACACTCTTCTGATCTTGGGATAAGCAGAGGTCAGGGTGAGCCGTATCTGGATTCAAGGTCACAATTTCTGCAGGGGAAAAGAGAAGACAAAAAGCTCTTCTTGAGTTCTTAAAGCTCAAGGATATGCATTATAAAGATGCATCTCATGATCATTGGTGGATTTTAATTTTTAGAAAATTATTGTATACATTTGCTGCCAAATGGACACAGCACTGCACCAGTTCGGGAAACCTTGGAGCAAAAGTGCACAGTTAAAGCAGGATTTCATAGAATCATAGGAGAGCTGGAGGAGGCCAGAGGGCCATTGGGTCCAAGCCCCTGCTCAGTGCAGGACCCCAAGTTAAAGCATCCCTCTCCAGTGGCTGTCCAGCTGCATCCTGAATGCCTCCAGTATGGGAGAAACCACAACCTCCCTGGGTCATTAGTTCCATTGTCATACTGCTCTAACAGTCAGATTTTTTTTCTTGATAACTACCTGGAATCTGGCTTTCCATAACTTGAGCCTGTTATTCTGTGTTCTGCACTGTAGGTTGAGTGAGAAGAGATCCTGTCCTTCCTCTTTGGGACAGCCTTTCAAGTACTTGAGGAATGCATCATATTTCCCCTTAGTCTTCTCTTCTCAAGGCTAAACATGCCCAGTTCTCTCAAGCTTTGCTTCCACTCCCTGGATCGCCTTTGTTTCCCTCCTCTGACCCCTCTCCAGCTTGTATTTTTTTTCAAACTGAGGTGCTCAGAACTGGGCACAGTACTCCAGGTGAGGCCTAACCAGTGCTGAGTAAAGGGGAACTAATTCTTCATGTTATTTGGAAGTGATTCTGCTATAAATGTAGCCTAAAAGAGTATTTGTCCTTTTTGCAGCCTCATCACATTGTTGACTCAAATCCAGCTTGTGATCTACAATTATTCCCAGGTCCTTCTCACTTGCAGTATGACAGAGCCAAGTATTCCCCATCTTGGAATGATGCATTAGGGTTTTATTCCCCCCCCCCCCAGGTGGCTTTTGTCCCTGCTGAATTCCATTCTGTTGTTTTCAGCCCAGCGCTCCAGTCTATCAAGATCACCTTGAATCTTTTTTCTGTCTTCTAGTGGATTAGCTATTCCACCCAGTCTTGTGTCACCTGCAGATCTGGTAACTGTTCCTTGCACTTCTGCATCCAAAGAATTAATTAAAATGGTGAAGAGTACCAGTTCCATCCTGTGGCACTCCGGTAGTTTCCCCAGAAATGAGAACTCTTTGAGCCTGATTCTGTAGCCCCATTTTTCAACCATCGGTCCACAGACTGGCACTGATCCACCGGCATTTCCTGCCGATCTGTGAAAGACCTGTGGTCGTGTGCATGCACAACAGCCGCGTCCCGCTCACCACAGACCAGTGTGGGGGCCAGCTGTGCTCTCCCTGCAGATTCACCACCTCTGCCTTGGTGAGGAGGGGAGCAGCAGCTCAATGGGAGCCAGCAGGGAGCTGCACTGCGCTGGTCAACCCTCTGGATAAGGCCCTAAAGACCAGGCCTTTTCTGCTGCATTTACTGCTGAGAAGGGAAATGCTGAGGCAGGCTTAGGCTGAGTGTGTTTTCTCAGCCAATCTGTGCTGATACATATGGGGGTTTGAGTGGGTGAGGTTTCATTATTTAACATTACGAATGTTACTGTGTTATGTAACTGTTTGATTTTTGTATTGCTCTGCTGTTAATATTGTATTTCTGCCTCAGCGGTCCCCAAAATAATTTCCTGTTTCTGCTGGTCCCCAACTGTAAAAGGTTGAAAACCACTGCTGTAGCCAGCTGTGCATCCACCTGATTGCTGGTCCATCCAGCCCACTTGTAGCTAGTTTACTGATCAGGATAGTATGCGGCACTCTGTCAAAGACTTGTCAAGGCAGGTGATGTCCACAGCATTCCTGCAGTCCTTCAGGGAGGTGATCCAGTCAAAAAATGAAATTGGATTTATTCTTGACAAATCCTTGCTGCTTCTAGTAATCACTGCATCGCTTTTAAGGTGTTGTAGACTGACTTCTTTATAATGCACCATAATTTTCCCAGGGATTGATGTCAAACTGACTGGTCTGTAGTTCCCAGGCTCCACCTTTTCCCTTTCTTGATGATCAAGACAACATTAGCCATTCTCCAGTCATTTGCCTATCAATCTTGGACTGCCATCCTTCTCCGTCAGCTTGTACGGAAGTTGCCTCCTGCAACTCTTTCCCAGCCATTGCTGCTATGATCTGCCTGACTAAACAACACTGCCTGCTTTTTCGTGTTTGCGTGTAACTGTGAATACGACAGTGGCCAGCCAGGCACTTCCAGGAAGTGAAGTCGTAGCTAGTGGCAGCAAATAACACCTGACTTATAAAAACTTACCTTTGCAGAGCTGATATTCAGAAAGGAGGGTATCTGTGGAAAGAGCGAAACATTGTCATGAGCTGGAGTTCCTCTTTCTTGCATTCAAAAGCCACAGACCTTTTCCTTGCAAAGTGCTCTTTATTGACCAAAAAGCACAGAACACGAAGAAGGAATCGCTGAGCATGCACAAAGCAGTTTGCTGAAAGCAATCTAGAATTCACCTCTGGGAACACTTCTTAGGAGCATGTCTGGCCCTCATCTCTTCAGGAGGGACCTGCTGAAAGCGAGCCCTCCTGCTCTCTGTGTGCTGATCCTCTAACTGGGCCACTTTCCTTTGCGGGCAGAGTGCCTTGGAGCCAAGAGCTGTATCTACCTCATCTTTGTCTGAGAAATTCCCCTGCTCCAAGTCCTCTCCTGCCAGCTGTACATCTTGGTTATTCCAAGATGTACAGCTTGGAATATTAAATAAACAAAATAATTAAACAAAATAGAAATATTAAAACAGTAAAGTATATGTTCTTGTATCAATAGCTAGCATTTAAAACATTTTGGCAGCAGCATATATTAGCATAAAATTAAAAGATAATTAAGAATCGAGAATTGATCTGAAAAAATATCTAGTCATACCTAAACAGCAGCATCTCTCCCAGGATCTCAGACAAAAGGTCTGAGCATTTTACCTGCTACCTGATTTTTTTAACCTGAAGAATGCCAAGGTAAGGAATACCAAGGACCACGTACAGGTGAAGCATGTGCCCAGTTGTGAAGGTACAGCCCCTCCCAACTTCCAGGCTCAGAGGGTTATTGTTTTCCACTCACAAAGTGCTTCTGGGGATAATAGTATGACCAACCTAATGAAAAGGTTGTCAGAGTGGTGGGAATCTTTTCCAGTATGCAACCCGTGGATAGAAATAAAACCAAGTCAGGTACCTCCGAATTGCTTCGTGACACGCTGGAGGAACACGTTTATGGCTTTAAATTCCTTGATCCACTGTTTCAGTTCAGGTGGAGAAGACACCGGCTTCTGCACTATTCCCATCTGACATCTGGGAAGGACATAACCAAGAGTAATTCGCATTGCCAGTATCACGGCTGGTTCAAGCCAGAAAGAAAATATGTGCATAGTTTCTGTGTCCAAAGTTTACTGGAATTATATGAAAAATGGCAACAGGGAAGCAGTTCAGCCATTCTACTGCCTGGAAGGATCTACCAAGCTTCCCTAACACACTGCCCTCCAGATGTTTGGGACTGCAAGCCTCAGTATTCCTGACCTTTGGCCATGCTAGCAGGCTTCCTAGGATCTGAAGTTCAAAACATACGGAGCTCCACCTTCCTCCGACAAAATGCTGCACTGTATCTTCCTTCCTGACAGAAATCAAGGCTTCTGCAACCACGTCATCCCTCTTTGCCCATCTTCTTTTCCGGCTGTCATTCTGTATTTTTGTGGCATGTTCATTTCTCATTGTGTTTCCCCACCTTGCCAAGGATTTTTCTGCCCCTCTCTCAAGCATGCCATCAGTTTCTAGATACATTAAAATGCCGGTTTTAAAATTTAAAGCCCTAAAATATGTGAGGCTAATCTCTCCAAAAGGGATATGTTGTTCCCATACATCCCTGCCAAAACCTTTAGATTTCCTCAGTGCCTCTACCCAAGGAAGAGGAACTTTGCGGTGGTGGCACCCTTGTGATGAAGCAGCCATCCCGGGTACCATCTTTGTGATTTTTCAATGCCGCATAAATACCTCTTTGTTCTGCCTGTTTTTTTAAAATAACCTACACAGTCTAGACTTCTTCAGTTTTAAAATCTTGTTTTAATTCTGTTTCAGTGTCTTTTGTTTTTCCCTGTTCTTATATTTATGCTGTTTATGATTTTATCTCTTCTTATAGTTTAAAGCCACTAGGAAGAATCTAGATGGCTGCAGAAGTTGCAACCAAACTCGAGAATGGAGCTGGGGCTCTGCACTTGGAGGGCCCTCCCTGGTCCCTCACGCTGGCCTGGTTCTTTCTGCCCTGGCTGTGGCTCTGAAGTGGGAAGGCTGACCTCCGAGCTGCAGCTTTGCAGGCATTCTGGGGGTTGGGGAGGGAGAGAGGGGGGCTATACCAGAATACATCACATTAGGGTGGATCCTCTAGCACAGTGTGCTGTATTCTGGTAGGGTCTCCGCCTGTCCTCCTTACATAACAGGGCAAAGGACAGCTGAAATTGACTAAGTCTTTTGCACAGCAGAAATATGGGGGAGACCTCCCCCTCCCCCCTCCTTGCACCTTCAGCAGGACGCCCCGTCATCCCGGGTCTGGACAGTTACAGGCAGTTACTTTCAATGGTGCTGTCCGTATCTTTTATATTTATGGCAATTCACTCAGAGAACGTTAGATTATAGGTTGTCAAGCACGGGTTATAAATGAATAAATACACATATAAATGCCAGTTGCAGCCTGACACCTTCCCCCTGTTTTTCAGCAGCCTGGTTGTTGGTGCAGCGCTCAAGGCACTCAAGGGCTGAGTTCACTATTCAGAGGAGCGATCGGGAAATTCATTCTGAATCCATGTCAAACATTCATTCATTTGAAGGCCTACTCAGAAGTAAGTTCAGTGGGGCTTCCTCCCATGTGAGTGAGCTTAGCACTGCAGCCCAAATATCTCTGCTGTCCAGTACACTGTAAGCTTCCAGGCTGAGAAGAAACTTAACACTTGACATCAAGGGAAGAACATTAAAGCCACTCACTTCTGCATGATCCCCTTGATGCCCTAGAAGGAGGAAAGAACAAAATCCAGGTGAGTCCCACAAGGCGCTCCGCAGCATGTTCCAGGGAATCGCTGGCGCCCGGGTGAGTTGGGGCGGGTGCAGAGGAGCCCACCTTCCCGCTTGGGGGGCCGAACAGATGAATCAGACCCAGTTAGCTGAGCAGCTGCTCAGCATCATCCTTGCTTGGATGGGGAACCACCTGGGCATCCCTCAGACCAGATTCTGAGCCAGATGTGCACGCAATAAATAACACAAAGGCTGTAACTGAGAGTCCAGGCAGAGCAGGAGACACAGCAGTGGATTCTGTTTAGGGAGGCCTTCGCCCTGCCACAGACCACACAACGCAGCCTTGTGCACGTCACTCTGGCTGGCCCACCGCACAGGCTTGCTGTGAAGATAAACAGAGGGCCACATTGGGAAGATGGGGCTTGGCAAGAGTTGCAGAGGGAAGCAACCGCTCCTTTCCTGTTCAGGTGGCTGCCCAAAACAGCCGAGTCCCTAAACAAACGCATGGACGTGACGGGCACTGCGCAGGGGAACTGGCTCACCTGCAGAATTTCACCGGCGGGCTGTCGACACTTCTCCTCCATCTCGTGGACGAGGTTCTCGAGCGAGGCACATTCTTCAGAGAGCTTGGCGTTATGTTCCTCCCTCCGCCTCCCAATCCTTTTGTCCAGCTCTTCCAGCCGCGCCAACAAGACAAGGTGTTTGTCCTCTATCAGCTGGTACAGCTGCTTAAATTGAGTCACCATATCTTGCCGTATGTTGTCTGCCTCATTCTAGAGCAAACCGATGGGAACAGGGAGATGAAGGGCAGGTTTAAGGTCGGGGACGAAATGGAGGGGATGCTGGGAGATGCCCGTTTCAGTCTACAGATATACTATGGGCAGAACCCCACTAAAACGATTGAGAGCTATTTAAGGACACTGTAGTGCTGTTACACAGTTTGCATTCGCATTCATAAGAGAACATCCTGGTGATTTCTGGCTAGCGTTTGCGTACTGTGGATGTGCATGCAAAATAGGGGGCCTTTCATGGCAAACAGGGCAAAATTTCACAGCTTCTTAAATTACATAAAACTGTGCATGTTCAACAAGTTCCCAGAAAAGTCTCAGCACCCTTAAAGAAGCACCGCAAGTCTTCGACGTGTGTCTTTCATTGTAAGCTTCGCTGCACCAGTGGTTCCTACCTCCTCAAAGTCTGGTAGTCAGGTTTCATACCTGCAAACTTTCAGAAAGTCCTAAAGAGGAAGATTTAAGATGCAATACAATCTGGGCTTATGCCCCATGGGATGCTATGCACTTTATTTCTCAGTACGCATGTGTAGCTGAACCGTAAATGACCAGAGAGAGAGCGGCAGGGCAGGGCAGGGCAGGGGAGCAGAGAGCCCTGGCAACATGATGGTTGGTGGTTTCTGCAGGAAGAGAGGAGAGGAAGAAGAGTAGGCGAAGCATGACTGACAGAAAGAAAAGCGAAAGAGATTCCTTCTGAGTCAAAGAGGGAAGCAGTGAAGGCAGCTGAGAATAAGCACCTGAGGCAATGGGAGAGTTAAGTTCTGAAAGTTGGAGAGAAACCCTAATTGTAAACTCGAAGAATGGTTGGTTCCTGGAAAGACCGAAGGTCAGTGGTGCATGTCTGCCGGAAACTCAGTGACTCAGGGCACAGTCGCTGTCTGGGGCCTGCTGGTGGTTGTGGGGCTTCTTCCTCTCTAAGCATGCACAGGATCGGAGTTTAGTGGGGTGTTTTCTAAAGGTACCTCTCCAGAGATGAGGGAAGGAGCGGCAGAACCGCAGCAAATTAACAGTGGTACATTTTGACTTCGACTGTTTCATTAAAACCATTTATTTAAGTGCTGCAGGCACTTGTTCATTCTAGTACTGCTGTTATGTGTATCGACCACCTTCATTCTGTCCTTGCTTTTTCCTTTATTTATGCTTTTGGACTCATCGTGCTTGTTGTTCAGCCCTCATTACGTTTCTTCATTTCCAGGGGTCTGCTACATGCACACCATTCAGGTACAACCCTGTACCCACCTACTTGGGACATAACTCCAGTGAACTCAAAGATCTCTTTCTATGGAGTTTATATAATCAGGTTTGTGAGTAAGCATGTATAAAACCATAGCTTTCTGCTCCTTTATCCCAAAATCATTATTCCCAATTGTTACACCCATGAAGCCAAGCTGAGAACACAAGAAGGGCTGTGCTGGACTAGCCCATTTAGTCCAGCACTTTGGACACATGATGGCCAAGCAGCTGCTCGCAACATCTCACAAGCAGGGCAGGAGTACAACAGCACTCAGTACATTGCCCGAGTTCGCAGCAATTGGTGTGCCAAGGCACACTGTCCCTGATTCTATCTATCTATCTACCTACCTACCTACCTACCTATCGATTTATATCCTGCCTTTTTCCTACAAAGGGCTCAAGGCAGCTTACATCATTCTCCTCCTCCATCTTATCCCCACAACAGCAACACTGTGAGGTAGGTTGGGCTGAGAGTCTGTGACTGGCCCCAAGTCACCCAGTTGGCTCCATGCAGGGAGCCTGTAGCTATCAGAGCTAGTAGGTGCCAAGAACCACCGCCTCCTCCTCCGCCATGCATTTGTCCAATCCTGTTCGGAAGCTATTCGGATTGGTGGCCAACACTACATTCTGTGGCGGGAATTCCAGAGTTTAACTATGAACCACATAAAGAAATTCTTCTTTTTTCCCATCTGGAATCTCCCACCAGTGAGCTCCATGGCCCCGGGTTCTAGTATTATGGGAGAGAGAGAGAAACTTCACTCTTTCTGCATACCCCGGATCATATTGTACACCTCTTGTCTTTTTTCTAAGCTGAACAGTCCCAGTTGTTGTAGATGCTTCCCACAGGGGAGCTGCTCCAGCCCCCAATCCATTTAGTGCCCCCTTCCTGCCTTTTTTCCAACCCTACCATATCCTTGTGTAAGTGTGGTGACCAGAACTGTACAGAGTATTTTAAGTCTGGTCATACCAGAGAGTAGAAGCTTTGAAGTTTGTATTCCATTTTCCAGTCCTTTCCTAATTATGCCTACCATGAAGTTCGCCTTTTTCACAGCTTTGAGTGTCGTCAAATGTTTTGCTTTGCTCTGGCAACTTCTGGGGCAGCTTCAATTGCCATTCTTATCATGATTATTTAAGAAACTTTAGCAAAGCTAAGGGTGGCTGGAATAGAGAGACCAGAATTTTAATAGGTGAGGAGATTTAAAATGGGGGAGTTGGATTTAGAGTGCGCCCCTGTGGACCAATTGCCAGTTTCATGCAGAGTAAAAATGATACCTACCTGCAGAGCTTCGCTTTCCATGTTGCCACTCCTTTTAGACGCCACAGTCTCATATTGTTTCTTCTTCAAAGCATTTATCTGGCTCTGAATCCAATCCTGAGACAAGAAAAAATAGTGTTTCGTGTTATTTGGATGGGAACCTCAGTCTTCCCCCTTTCCTTGCCTACTTTCTACATTATAAGGGACATTGATACTAACTGACCGATTCACAGGTGTATTGTTCGGGATGACAGCAAGATGGTTGATTCAAGCACTTTGGCTGCGGAGAACGTATCATCTTCTCGCAGAGTGGCATAGCGGCTGGTGTTGGGCTGGCACTGGTTAGACCCAGACTCTAGTCCCCACTTGGCCATTGACATTGGCCCAGTCATTGGTTCTCAACCAAACCTACCAACCTCACGGGGTAGGAGAGAAAGATTACTTAAGTCACCTGGGATTCCATAAAGGAAAAAAGTATACAAATAAATTAAACAAATAGACAATGTTGGAGTCCAGGTTCGGATATCCCTGGCCGTTGGCCATGCTTGCTAGACTGATGGGAGTCATAACCTTGAACATCTGGTAAGTCCTAAGTTGCCCACCCTTCACTTAATTCATCTCAGAATTTGACTTGGTTGGATGATATGCTATGTTGAGGAATCATTTCTTTATCTGCATGTATAGGAAATAAATATTAAATGCAGAGGTCCATGGAGCATCGATCATATTTCCAGGTGACACAAGACTGGATGGAATCGCTAATACCCTGGAAGATGCACACAAAATTCAAAGTGATCTTGACAGGTTGCAGCACTGGACTGAAAACAACAGAATGGAATTCAATAGGGGCAAACGCCAAGTTCTGTTCCTAGAAAAAGGGGAGCAAATGCATAGGTACAAGTTGAGGAATACTTGGCCCAAGACTACTACAGACGAAAAGGATCTCGGATTTGTAGATCACTAGCTAAATACGAGTCAACAATGTGATGTGACTGCAAAAAAAGCCAGTCCTCGACTGGGCTGCACTGACAGAACGATCACTTCCAAATCAGGCGAAGTGCTAGTTCCCCTTCACCCAGCACTAGCCAGACCTCATCTGGAGTTCAGTGCCCAGTTCTGGACACCACACTTCAAGAAAGAGGCAGACAAAGTGGAAAGGATTCAGAGAAGGGTAGAAGGATGATTTGGGGACTGGAAACAAAGCCCTGTGAGGAGAGATTGAAAGAATTGGGCATGTTTTGCATGTTTTGTCTTGAGAGGAGAAGACTGAGGGGAGATAGGATAGCACTCTACAAGTACCTGAAAGGCCGTCCCAAAGAGGAAGGACAGGTTCTCTTCTCCTCTCAATCATCCCAGAGTACAGGTGTTAATGGGCTTATATTACAAGAAGCCAGTTCCCGGCTGGACATCCTGGCTTCCTGGCTGTTGCAGCAGAAGGGTGATGGAACCCATGACCCAGGGAAATTGTGGGAGGCATTCAAGAGGCAGTAGGAGGGCCTCCCGTTAGGGATGCTGGGGAGTCCTGCATCAAGCAGGAGGTTGGACTTGATGGCCTTATACCTTATTCCACAGTAAAATAATACTGATCAAAAATAATGAGGAGGATGCATGCCTGTCTGTCCATCAGAGTGGTGGCATTAAAAATATGAAAGTAGAACTTGGTATGCAGAGCAAGCCACCCTACTATTTTGGCTGTTATTTTGTTTTTACAACAGTAATTTTAACTAAGGGTCAATCCTATGTAAGCTCAGACAGAAAAAAATACCTAATGCAACTCCCAGTAAGGCTCATGGCTTTTTTTTTTTTTTTTTTGGCTTTCACAGGCAATTGCTACCCTTAATTAATTGAGACCACATGGTTGAGAGTCACAAAAACATTTTGGGTGGGCTTCTGTTAGCAGTTCATAGTTTTGCAGTCTATCCAGCTTAAGGCCGGGGGAGGAACACGTATGCTGTGGCGCAGCCCCCAGCGAGTGGAATGGGGCGGAAAGGGGTCTGCGGGGGGCCCCATGCCGGCGCTGCACCTGGGAGGGGGCCACGGGCGTGGCGGCTTCACTCACGCGGGGCGGGGCGGGCACCATGTCTCCGCTCTAACAGCTGCGTCAGTTTGTTCAGTCAGTATCAAACAAAGCGTTAACGCAGCCCATGCAAGACCCAGTCCATTCGTTAGGAACTATAATGATTTATTAACTATTGTTTTTATTTGCTATACTCCGCCTTTTCACCAAAAAGCAGCAATGAAGGTGACTGATAAAATCGTGTCGACTTTTGTTCTTACATACTTTAGAGGAGAGAGAGATGCATACGTGTACTGGGGGAACAGCACATTGCCTAAGATGGTTTGGTTCAGACACCGTCTTACAGCACAAGTCTACGCAGCTTGAAATTAGGAAAAAGTCCCACGGCCCCCAGCATTCAGCCAGCATGACCTGCTGGGGAATGCCGGGAGGAGTGGGGCCGTTTTTCCGTCTGAAGCTGCTTAAGATGGCGCCCTCCGTCCCTCCCGCTACCTTGTATTCTTCGGCGGCTTCATCCGTGGGAAGCACCGCATGCATCCTGTGGTCCCGGGACTCTCTGCAGACCACGCAGATGAGGGCTTGATCGTCCTTGCAGAAAAGTTTCAGGGGCTCCTGGTGCTTCTCACACTCTGCCCACCCTCCTCCTCCTCCTCCTCCTCCTTCTCCCGCCCCAGTCCTCGCCTCCAGGCTGAGCTGCTTGGTGATCGCCACGAAATTGGCCAGCTGCCGGTTCGCTCGGAAGTGCCTCTGATCGACCAGCTCCCGGCACTGGGGACAGCGCCAGGCGTCCGGGCCCGAGTCCTGGCAGGAGCGCGTGAGGCAGTCCTGGCAGAAATTGTGCCCGCACGTTACGATCATCGTCGGCTCCCTGAAGTAGTCCAGGCAGATGGGGCAGGACGCTTCATCGCGCAGGCTTTGCATGGAGCTCCCAGCCGCCGCCATGGCCGTGTCGCACTCCCAACCGGAGCGTGCTTTCACTTTCCGGGAAACGGCAACACCCTGTTGCTTCCTGCAACAGTTGGGTGTTTTACCCCTGCGGGAACGGCGATGTTATGGTGACGTTTCTAGCTCCCTCCCACTCACACCAAGGCGCAGTGCAGCGATAGGAACTACAGCTCCCAGAAGGCAATGCACCGTAACGGAGGAGGTGGGCGTGAAATTATTTCCGCCCGCGAATTGGGAGGCAAAGCTGCTTTTCTATGGATTATTCAATGACGCAATCCTATGCAAATTGCGTGGCAGTTTTTTTTTTTTTTAAACCAACAAACAAGATCTGCAGTGCCTCTCTTCTGAAGTGGCCAAAGGATGCAGAAAAGCAGGCAGTGGAATTCTGACAATTTCCTCTCCAGGATTTAGCCCAGGAGGAGCATTTTTGGGGTGTCTGGTGTTTGTGTCAAAGAGGAGTCCGATTCTTGTCCCTTAGCCAATTTCAAAACGCATTAAAAAGGGATATACATGTATGTCATAACCTAATAAACATTTAATAAAGTGCAAGGAGGTATGCATGCAGTGGGGTCTAAGCAACTGAACAGCTTTTCATGCCTATAACTAGTGGAGAGCAGGAAGGGCTTATTCCAGCCCCTCAGCAAAACAAAACAAAACAAAACAAAACAAAAAACCTCCACAAGGACTCTTATTTCTAACTGGGTCTGTTTCCATCTTTTCTTAAAGGTGCCAGCCATACTGGGTGGGACTGGGAGCTGTAGACCATTTTTCTTTCCAATCTTGCACCTTTAATGTTTTATGTTTCACCACCTCAAAATCCTCAAATAGGAATATGCTGTACTCAGAAAAGCAATTCTTACCATCCCACCCCACTGCCCTGCCATAAACACATCAAAAGATGCCTCAGTGTCTGGTGGTGAAGACTAGATGACCCCACTCCGTTAGTGGGTAACTGTCCAAGTGCAATCTCTGTGTTTTATAGGCTTGCTAAAGTGCCTCCCTAACCCTGCAAGTTCACACATGTAACCTTTTTGTTTACTTAACTTGGCCAGCCTGTTCAAGGTAACTTTAATTTAGAAGGCCTGTCAAAGGCATCTAATTAGAGTGAAATGTAACTTTTCTTCATGGTGCTGTGATGTGTATCCAATCACTTTCCTATCCATATCAAAGTATCCAATCACCTTCCTGTGTTTTGTATTCACTCCCCTTTTGTGTATTCTATATAACCCTGAGGAAATTAACATGGAGTGTTCCTTCTTAGGCACCCATGGATCCATGCATTCAATTGTAAATAAACCTATTTGCCCTGGCAAGAAACTCATTTTCGAGCCTCTGAATTGCAGATCAGTGTGACAATGGGGTAATGTATAAATCTTGAAAATAGCTAAATATAAATAACAACACTGAAATGCAAATGTATCCCATTAGGAAAGGCATCCAGGGCACCATCTGGTCCAGTTTCATTGGATGAGATTCAGTTATTGGGGCACAAGAATATGGACAAGGTGCTTGGTCAAGTCTGGCCTATCACCTGTGCTTCACCCTCGGCCCTCATGGATCATTACAGCAAAAAAGGGATTTCTACCTGGGTCCCTGAGGCTGTGAATGCCTCTTTGAGAAGGGGAAAGGTTTAACCTCTCCAGAACAGGCTGCAAGTAAGCCACTCCTGTAAAAGCCTACCTTGCACCCAGGGGATGCTATTAACTATGGGTCAATGGCCAACATCCGCTTCCTGGGGAAGGCGCTCAGGCAGGTGGTGGTTGAACAGCTCTAGGCAGTCTTTAATGAAGTGGATCCATTTCAGTGAGGCTTCCAGGCCTGGTTTTGGAATGGAAATTGCCTTAGTCACTCTATGGTTTGACCTTTGCCAGGAGAAAGACAGCAGGAGCGTGACCCTGTTGGTTCTCCTGGACCTCTCGGTGGCTTTCAGTACCATCAGCCATGGTATCCTTCTGGATAAGCTGGCTGAGTTGGCGACTGGAGGCACCACGCTGCAGTGGTTCCGCTCCTCCTTGACCAGCCGATTCCAGAAGGTGGTGCTGGGGGATTACTGCTCTATGCCAAGGCAGCTATGGCATGGGGCTATTTTAGCCACAGGGCTATTTTATCCTCTATGTTATTTAGCGTCCACATGAAACTGCTAAAGGCGGTTATCCAGAGGTATGGGCTGAGGTACCACCAATATGCAGATGACTCCACTTCTTTTTCATCAAACCCAGCTGAGGCACTGTCGGCCCAGAAATAAGTGTCTGAGCTCAGTAACGGACTGGATGAGGGCCAATAAACTCAATCCAGAAAAGTCAGAGGTGGAGTTGGTGGGTGGTTTGTCTGGTGGTATTCAACCTGTTCTGGATGGCGTTGCACTCCCCCTAAAGGGCAAGGTTTGTATTTTGGGGGTGCTCCTAGATCCAGCACTGGCACTAGAGTCACAGGTGGACTCAGTGGCACGGATCACATTGTATCAGCTTAAGCTGATGCACCAGCTGTGATCCTCTCTGGACAGAGGGCGCCCAGCTGCAGTGACCCGTGCTCTGGTGACCTCTCATTCGGGTTACTGCGACGTGGGGCTGCCTTGGAAAATGGCCCAGAAACTTCCACTGATCCAGAGCAGGGCAGCAAGAATGTTGCTGGGGCCTGGCTCTGGGGAACGCACTACGCCGGTTCTCTTCCAGCTTCACTGGCTGCCAGTCGAAGGCCGGACCCAATTCAAAGCAGTAGTACTAGCTTGCCCCCAACGGCTTGGGGGCAGGTGACTCTGAAGAATCACCTTCTCCCATATGTACCTACCTGGACCCTGAGGTCGTCTTCAGGGGTCCTTCTCCAGAGGCCGCTTCCAAAGTGGGTGGCTACCAGGAAGGCAGCCATGTTGGTTGTGTCACCCCACTTTGGAATGAGCTCCCCAAAGAGGTGCCTGGTGTCTCCTTTGTATTCTTTTTGGCACCAGGTAAAGACTTTATTTTCCCAGTATTTTAATAGTTTAACATTTCAACTTTGTATATTTCCCATTTTATTCTGTACCACTGCTATACTTTCTATGCTGAATCACAGCAATTATTATTTTATTCTTTCAACTTAATAGGTGTGTCTTTTTAACATTTATCAGTAACCGCCCAGAGAGCCTTGGCTGTATAAAAATGAATATAATTTGTTTCATATTTATATGCCAGCTTTATGAAGTCATTTATACTTCCATTTATATGCCGCCTACTACTGAACAAGGATGTTTGCACACGCTTCAGACAGCATAGTAAAACATAGCCAAAAAACATTTCAAGCCATACTAAAATGAGCTACTACTTCCTTTTCATATCTGCTCTCCTTTGCTACTTAAAAAAAGAATTACTTGGTGTGATTCTACCAAGATGAGCTTAAGTGCTCAGGTTCCCATGCCACATGGTCCATCCAGGCGGCTTGTTGGTGCGGGATCAAAGCAGGTCGCAGCTATACACCAGCTGGCAACCAAAAGATAGTTTGGACTCCAAGCTGTGAGGCCAGAGAGAACACTCAGACGTCCTTGCCCCCTCCAACACCCTTATATCCCCCTCCAACCTCACTTTACTGACCTCAGAGAGCAGCCAGCTGCAGTGGGGCAGCTCTGGAGCCAAGGGGCTTGGGGAGCTGCCTCTGACCCTGGAGGCAGGAATTGGCGCGATCCTATTGCCTTCCGGTGGATGTGGCCCTCAGATCAATCTCTAACAGCTCAGATTCCAGAAAAACATTACAAAACACCACGTTCCCACCTTTGCAAGAAAGTCTCCTTAGACTGGCCAGTACCTTTCTGTTTTTTTAATTAATAAACTTATTGCATTTTACACAGTGCAGATGAACCAGGGAAGGAGGTGGGATTCACTTGCACCTGTACTCCTGTTCCAAGGCTATTTTGGAATACTATGTGGGATATGTTTGAGTGCCCCCCAGTAATCTGCAAATTTATATTCTTCCTGTACAATTTCTTTTTGCTGTATGCCACTGATGATCAGAAGCTATTCTTTGTTTTGCATCAGTATCTCTTAACTTAAGGACCCTTTAATGTGTAGTAATAACAATTTGCTTCTGGCAGTAAGGTGGCTGGAACTCTTTGACAGCCTTAGGGAGTGAGGGTCAGACATCCTGCCTCCTCCAGGAAAAAGAAGAGGACAAGGGGTTCTCCAGTGAAGGAAGCCTCTGAGAAGGCATATATAGAGCATCCGCTTTCCTCATCATGGAAGGCTACTTGTTGTCCTGGATAGTTCAGACTCGCCCAGATGCTCTTGGGCTCCCCTTTTATAGAAAGGTGATGGTGGCTGAAAACTTTGCATGCCCCGCTTTGCCTTCCCACAGCCCAGATCCCTTCGTCAGGACTAAAGTCGAGATGTCCCTTTCTCTTCACAGACTTCCTGGTCATCCCCATTTGGTATCCTGCACAATGACCCCCCAGCTACGTCTGCCTGAGGTAAAACCCTCATGGCCCAGCGCAGCAGCACAATCGCTGAATCTCTCCGGGTTCTCCGGCGCATTTTGATTTTTCTCTCCCAGTCTCACTTTCTGACAATCATCAGACAGAACAAGAAGGGGATCTGCCATGTCTGGATCCAGGATTACATTTGCTGTAGGGAAGTGGCAGGGAGATGGGGAAAGAGAAGACAAGTGGATTAGCTGGGAGAATGAGCTACAATGAGCTTTGAAGCAGTCCAAGAATTACCCGTCATAGACTCAATGGCGTTTCAATATCCTTCACTGCAGACTGAGATTCTCCTTTTTCTCCCAGTCTTGATGTACACCTGGATAAGGAGAATGCTGGGGGCAAGTGAATTGTCAGGAAAGCAGCTGTAACAAGGATATCCAGGTTCCGTCAGGAAAGACCCCTTTCGCCTTGAACCTCACCAGTTTTATTGAAAGATCACCCAGGATCCCTGCAGTTACTTATGACAGCATGTGACCGGGTAGTGGATCTCACTGCCAACTACAAAATCACAGACCATGTACAGACACTTTTATAACTTGCTAGTCATGTACACCAATGCAGAGTGTTACATTTCCAGATAATGTTGGTACAATAGCCTCTTGACATGTTTAGGCATGACATGATGTTCTAAACCAATCAGAAATATTGGTAACAATACCATGGAAAACATTACTGACTGCTGTGTTGATAGGTTATTCTAGCAAATTCTTGACAGTGCAGTTGAAACATGCCAATGTGTCTGATGGAGGAAGGATTCAGGAAGTCTGGTTTGATAACTACACTCAGCAGGGGCTTGCCTCTGTGGGACTAGATGTTTAGGTGGGCCCTTTCAGAAACAAAGAGGCAGTGTGGTGTAGTGGTTAAGCGCATGGTACTGGGACTCAGACGATCTGGGTTCTAGCCTCTGCTCAGCCATGGAGCCAACTGGGTGACTTTGGGCCAGTCACAGACTCTCAGCCCAACCTACCTCACAGGGTTGCTGTTGTGGGGATAAGATGGAGGAGGAGAATGATGTAAGCTGCCTTGAGCCCTTTGTTGGAAAAAGGCAGGATATAAATCGAAAAACGAATAAATAAATAAATAAAAGCAAGTGGACACCATTGTTTCAGCTTTTCTGCTGCTGATGAGACCACAGGTATCTCCTCACGAATAGTATTAGTGAGGCTTCTCAGTCTAGCTTAGAATGCCATCTTCTTAAAGCAACAGCAATGCTAAACAGTGACCTGGCTTGGAAAGCTGGTGCTTTGTGAGGAAGAGGTGCAGGTTTGATTTTATAACACAAAGGGACATATAAGCAACATTTTTCTGCCAGGATTTATCTGAAATTTCCCAACAGAATCTAGGAGAGAAAACACACCCTCCTGCCAGCCGTCATGCGGGACTTAAGCCATTTCTTTAAAGTATTTTAACACTCAGAGAAGCCTCAGGAGGCAACAATGAGGACCACCCATAAAAAGCATTTCCACTGCCTTGACACTGGGTGAGAACTAGCCATCTGCAACTTCCAGGAAAAACTGGGGTGCCTCAGTTCTGGTGAGTGGGCATCAGGTTGGTCTGGGAAGCGGCACAGCAGACCCTCCGTCCAGTTCGGGTAGGGCCAGTCGCATTGCTTGGCATCAACGCTCACCAAAAAGGCTCCATTATGATTTGTACCATCAGCTGCACATCTAGGGCACCAAAGCACATGGAAAACCTCTACTGGGGCCAGATATTTGCACCAAGGTGTGCAAGCTTTTCAGATTATCAGATCTTTGCACCAGGCAAAATGTCCCCAATCTCCCACAATTCAACTTCCGGGGATGCATATTTACCCAAAATACCCACTGTGTTCAGCAGGGCTTGCTCTTAAGTGAGCATAAGATTACTTGAAATTTATACACACAGATACAGACACAGGCAGGCACACAAATAGAACAGGAAAGAGCTTTTTGTAGCTTCCCAGTATGTAGGTAATAGAGGGTTTTGAGGCAGCTATGAAGAAAACACATCTGTCTTCACTTTAAAACAATGCCCAGGTTTTGTGGTCACTTCTTCCCTCCTCTTTCTATCCAGGAACAAGGGAGCAGAAAATGCGGGAAAGGGGAGTGCAGTTTTGAATTCTTTCAAGGTTTTCTCTTTGGGGGGGGGGGGTCGAGGAAACAGAGGTGTTTTTGTCTCACACAGAAGGATCAGTCAGTAAAACTGGTTGGCAGCTGCTTCAGGACAGAAGGAAGGGACTCCCTCTCTCCAAACATCCCCCCACTGTTGCCCCCCCAAACTACTAACTTTACAGCCACCACTGGAATACAACTGGGCCAGCAGGCCAAGCTGAGGGAGAGCAAGGTGATTCCAGCAACCCTGCTAAAATGCTTTCCCCCCTCTCCTCTCTCTCCTCTCCCGTCTATTCCTTCTTCCTTGTCTGCTGCTGTCTAAGCTGGTGGAGTAGGGACTATCTTCTTTAACTCTACGCAAACCATTCAGGGAGTCTTTTTGGCTGAGGAACAGCATAAAAAAAATCAAATCAGTAAATAAACAGCACCATATGCCGTCATTTCAACATGCGCATTTACGTCTGCTACTCGATTAAAAAAAAAACAACGATGGAAACTATCAAATTTGGCAAGCTGATGTGTATAAGGATCTACTTAAGGATTTACAGCCCAATGCTAAACAGCCCACTAAGTTTAGTATTTCATTCCTATACTCTCTACACTTGAAGCTCCTTTTTACATCTATCCATAAATACATCGGAATATATTAGGGACATAAGAAGGGTTCCGTTGGATCAGAGGATGGGTCCACCTAGCTGGCATTCTGTTCGCACAGAGGCCCCCGTGAGGACACAAGCGCTCTCCTGCCCATGTTCCCCAGCAACATGCTGTCCAAAGGGATCCTGCCTGTTACTGGGGTGTCCCTTATAGCCATCAGGACTAGCGGCATTGGGCGGCCATGTACGCATCGCACGGCACCGGCAAGCGCCACCTCCAAGCCAGCCCTGCTCGACGGCCCCGCCTCGCCTCGCCTCCCCTTTGCAAAAGGGATGCCCCGCTCCCCCCCCCCCCCCGCTCCGGAGGCGGTGCAATTGGGGAAGCGAAACCGAGCTTGCCTCGTCCTGGTGCCGCCGCCGCTGCCGCTTTCTCGGAGCCATGGCGGCGTCGAGCCCTCGGAAGAGGCTTCAGGACGAAGTGACTTGCTGCATTTGCCTGGAATTTTTCGCGCAGCCGGTGACTCTCGACTGCGGGCACAACTTTTGCCGCGCCTGCATCGAGACATGCTGGGGCGATGCGTCCGCCGATGCTCCTGAGACCGCCGCTTGTCCTCAGTGCCGGGAGAAAGTCGAGCGCAGGAGCCTGAAGCCGAACAGGCAGCTGGCCAACTTCGTGGAGATCGCCAAGGAGCTGACCGTGCAGCCCCGGCCGGCGGACGGAAGGTGGAAAGTCTGCGAGCTGCACGAGGAGCCCCTGAAGCTCTTCTGCAGGGACGACAAGGCCCCCATCTGCGTGGTGTGCGACCGCTCCAAGGAGCACCGCGAGCACAACGTGGTGCCCGTGCAGGAGGCGGCCCAGGAGCACCGCGTAAGGGAGGCCCCCATCCATCCCGGGCCGCGTAAGGGAGGCCCCCATCCATCCCGGGCCGCGGGGCCCCGTAAGGGAGGCCCCCATCCATCCCGGGCCGCGGGGCGCCCTGGCAGGGAGGAGGGCAGCCGACGCCGAGGGGGCGGCTGAGCGGGCTTGGCCCTGACGCGGAAGAGCTGGGAATGGGTGAAAATTTAGCCACCGGCTAAAACCGTTCCTGTTGGTTCCGCATGATGTTTACAGGGGAGAGGCCTCCGCAGCTCATCGACTGCCAGGCTGTGCTTTCCCTATCTCAGAGAGTGATAAAGCCAAGCTCCAACGGGACATATTATCCTGTCCAATGATTTACGGTTTCCTGGGATAAAGACGGAGGTAGCCGAGAGGCTGCTGCGCGTACAGCCAGCACTAGAGGGCAGAGCGAAAAATACTTTTAAACTTGTCTCTCTCTCTCGTTCTCAGTAGCATCTGAAATACATTTAGTTTCACTAAATCTCTGCGGAGGAAACACACTGGCACTTTTGTCTTCTTTCAGGATTGGATCTGTTGGTGCCTGGAGAAACTGAGGAAGGAGAAAGAGAAAATGCAGGCGGAGAAAGTGAAAGGAGAACATGAAAGTCAAGGCCTGCTTGTAAGTCTGGCTGTGGCTGGAGGGTGAACATGTGCAAGAAAAACTATCTGCAGAAGATTTAAAGTTTTCCGATGCCATCCAATTACTAAGAAAGTCTCTGGACAGCTGATGAAGAGTTTAGAAGGGTTCAAAGCTACCACTTGGAAAGGGTGATCTGCACGTAAGATCTATAGAAGGCGGGCTGGGGTACACCAAGCCCCAGTGCGGACGTGGCACAGGCACAGTGATAAAGCATCACCCCACCAGCCAGTTAAGCGCATGGGCAGGTTTGGCAATGGGGTGAGGAGACTTGAGCAGGAACTTGGCATTCTCTTCTAGGTCAGGAGGAATAAGGTACAAAGTACTTTATTCCCGGCTATGGGATGCACTCCCTAGAGAGGTCCGCCTGGCTCTGTAATTATATACTTTTCGGCACCAGGTCAAGACCTTTTTATTCCCCCAATATTTTAATGTTTAATAGATTTTAATTATTTTTATTTCAGTTGTGGGTTATTTAGTTTTACTATTGTTTGGGGTATTTATGATATTTAAATTTATATCATTGTATCTATTGATATTGTTTTATTTATTGAGCCGTCCAGAGATGCAGAGTGATTGGACGGGCTAGAAATATCCCAAATAAATAAAAAAAGTAGCAAAGAAAAGGAAAGTCCTCTCCCAGTAAAATAAATAAAACCCCCAAACTCTGAGGTTTTCCAGGTGAATGACCCTAATAATACCATTAAACCAATTATGAAGGGGGAAAGCCAGAAGGGGTGGGGGGCTATCCGGTGCAATGCCCTCAGTGCCACATGAATGACTGTCTGCCAGGCGAACAGAAGTCCTGGTGTGCTCCGTGGAAGGAGCCCCTGGCTCTCAGGGGATGTATTCACTCCCTTAAGCCAGGGCTGCTGGCCCAGAGAAGCCACAAGAGGTTGGCTGGGGAGACACCGGTGGACCAAATAGCTGGTCCCAGCTTCAGGGTGACAGTGCCTCTGCTGTCATGGAAATCGGGGTTTTGGGAAGGAGCTGAATCCTCCTAAAACTAAGTTAGTCCTATGAGGATGCTTATCATTTTTCAGGCCAGGGTGATCTTGAGATGGTGCACGAAATCGGAGGATGCAAACAGGGACAGTGCTGTGATAAGGGCATGTTGGCTTGGTAGATATGTTCCAGTTCTGGCAAAGAGGTTAAATTTCAGTGTCCTGAATGACTTCCTTTTCCTCTGTCTTCAGATCCCTGAATTTAGTTTTTCAGGAAGGGAGTTTGAGGAGGTAAGGCAGGTAGATGGTAATGGCAAAAGGTGACATTATTGATTATTACCTTATTGATAAATTGAAAGTTAGTAAATCACCAGGCTCAGATGGTCTCTGTGTTGGGAGTTCTCATAGAGGTCAAGCAGGAAACTAGGAGAGTGGTCAACAAATGCAAATCGCAAACCTGGACAGGCTCAGCTGTTGGGCACGAGCAAAAGGGAGCAGGTGGAAAGATGCACCTTTTCAGTTTAGCTATTTACAGTGTGTCACTTTTAATGTTTTTGTTGCTTTTGTTTTTATTGCTGTGTTCTTTTACATTGTTGTGCACTGCCTTGCTGTCTTTTAGCAGATAAAGAAATATTTAAATATTACAAATGGATGAATGAATGAAGTTAATAGAATCTTTCTGGGGGAGATGAACTGAGATCTGAGAAACCTGAGGCTTGGAAAAGAAAAGCTCTTTAATCTCCCCAAGGGCGAAGAATCAAAATAGAAATCATTGCAGATTAAGTGACAGAAAAGTCTTTCTTCTTCCTCGCTGGCTTTACTGGCTTCCCAGACATTTTTCTTTTTTGAGGTCACATCAACAAACAACCCTTTGCTGCCACCCCTTGGCCATTTTACTTAGATACACTGTGTATTAAACAAGCCTCCCCCCTCCCCCCCCCCTCAACCTCATACAAAGAAAACCTGTATAAAATGTTTTATAGATGGTATCTGTTGCCAAATTGGTTAACTAAGATGTTTCCAAATATGTCAAATGGATGTTGGAAATGTAAACACAAATCGGGTACCTTTTATCATATGTGGTGGACCTGTGATAAGGCAAAAAAGTACTGGATTAAAATACATAAAAGGCTTGAGGAGATGTTACAAAAACCTCTAACATTTAAACCTGAAGTTTTCTTATTAGGCATTGTACCTGATGATGTTAGTAAACGAGCAATGTACTTGACTCTACATGTAATTACTGTGGCGAGGATTGCATTTGCCCAACACTGGAAGAGTGAAGAGCCACCTACCGACGAACTGATTCTAAAAAAGATCCTGGACTGTGCAGAAATGGACAGATTGACTTTGTCTCTGAAGGAGAAAGAAGATACAGACTTCTATCAAACCTGGGATTCTTTTTATCATTTGCTAGAGGAATAGGACTATGCATAGATTTAAATATTTTTATATTTAAACATAGAAAGAAAAAATGTGGGTGGCTGACCCAGTAGGTCTGATGTTTTTGATGACTGATGTTTTTTTTTAGTTTTCTTTTTTGTTAGATCTATTAAGAATAAAACTTATTAAAAAAGAGAATCTTTCTGAAAAGTCTCCATCCTATGCCTATCTTTTAACACTGCAGAAACATTATTTTCTTGACTTTGTTCCATTGGCTTGTTGCAGGAGGAAATAGCAGCACAGAAGGAAAAGACAGTTGTTCAGTTCAAAGAAATGTACCAGCTTCTGGAAAAACAAGAAAAGGATCTGTTAAGCCAGATGGAAGAGGTAGAGAAGGAGATTACAGAGACAAGGGATGGCCACGTGACCAAAATCTTGGAGGATGTTTCTTCTTTAGAAAGAAGTATTGTAGAATTGGAGGAGAAGCTTCAACAGCGCACAGATGAACTTGTGCAGGTAAGACAGCCAAAGCAACCAAAGCTTCCCTTTGGGGTTTTACACACTTGTACAAGATGTGCACTTTATGGTGCAATGACTGTTTACATGCGTTGACCTGGGCTGTCAAGAATAGGACATTTGGGAGAGTCTTCATCCATGTTTTGGTTGCTGCACGTCAAGTCACTTCTGACCGACGGCCACCCTGTGCATGGAAGACCCCAAGTGTCCTGCCCATGACAGACCTGCCCAGCTCTTGGAAGTTCAGGGTTGTGCCTTCCTTCGTGGAAGTGATCCATCTCCCGTTTGGTGGTGGTCATCTTTTTCTGTTCTGACTTTCCCTGGCATGATTGTCTTCTCCAGAGAGTCTGGCCTTTTCTTGTTGCACCCAAAGTACGATAGCCTCACTTGCATTGTTTGTACTTCCAGGACAAGTCCTGGCATGATCTCACTTATGGCCCCGCTTGTTTGTCTTTCTGTCAGTCCAGGGTCTTTGCAAAGCTCTCCTCCAGCACCAGGTTTCACACACATCAGTTTTCTTCACCGTCCAGCTTTCATACCCACACGCAGTGAGGAAGGATAGAAGAGGGTTGATTATCCCGGCCATGGACCTCAGTGGAATCCCCCTAGATTTGACGATCTTTTCTAGTTCCCTCATTGCTGCCCTTCCACTCTCAGTCTTCTTCTGAGTTCCTGGCTTGCTGTCTCTGTTTGCATTGATGATTTCGCCAAGGTGTGCAACATTTTTTGCAAGTTCAATTTCTCCATTGATTACCTTAGCATTGTATAATGCTATTGTGGTCATGATTTTGGTTTTCTTCATATTCAGCTGCAGTCCTGCTTTTGCACTTTCTTCTTTCACTTTCATCAGGAGGCATTTCCATTTATTGCTGCTTTCTGCCAATATTATCTGCATCTCTTAAACTACTGATGCATCTTCTGCCAATTTTCACTTCTTCCTCCTCTGAAATTAATCCAGCTTCCGCAGGGTTGCCGTAAATCGGAGATGACCTGATGGCACTTAACAACAACAAGAACAATTGTACAGGCATCCTGCTGTACATGAACTGGCAAATTGGTCGTGAGATTTTTGGGACTGCTGTGTCCTTAACTGAAAGCATCTTTGCAGATTTGCTGTAGCCATTTGTGAGGATTTGACACTGGATGGATGGTTGCCATTGGCTCATTTTGAGAATTCTTGTCTAATACTCAGTTTGTAAGAGCTGTAAATAGATTGCTGTGCATTACACTGAAATGACCCCACTTTGCATGTAGAATGTCTTTCCCCAATGCTTTCTTGGGGAAGCAAGTAGCAAGTCTCAAATTCCTTTTTATTTCCTTTTTTTCTTGCTAGGATATAAGAAGCATCTTGCAGAGGTAAGTGGATCCCACTCATTCCCCTTCAGGCGTCATGATTCAGGATTGCATGAAGGGAGTCTGGCTCTGTAAGCAAAATGTGAAGCAAAGTGACAAAGAACAACAAAGATTGCAACTATCTCCACCCCGCAACCCTGAGCGTGAGTGCGGCCATCTCCCCCCACAGCACGACCCGTGTCCATCATTCCGGCGCACTGGAGAGCGGGGAGATGGGTGTGAATGAGGGTGCGCTGGGGGGAGAGACGGACGTGAACACGGACGCACGGGGGGGGGGGAGATGGGCGCGAACGAGGGCACGCTCGGAGGGGGTGGAGATGGCCGTGATCACAGTTGCCACCCAATGTGTAGTTTGTGACCCGAATCAAAATTTCTATGAAATTTTAGTTCGCGACCCGATTTGGTCATGAACTGAGGGGTTCGTGAGCCAAGATGCCATTGTGCAAACAAATATGAATGGGGGCAGACCGTAAGGGGAAACCATTCTCCCGAGGAGCCCAGTAAGAATGACTGGGCAATGGAGGATGTCTGGGGAGGCCAGATGTGAGTGGTGCTTCTCCAATCCCATGTGGCCGCCCCTAAGGCTACTCAGGAGGGAACAGGTCTTTCCTGCCTCTGTGCAAGCTCCTGAGCATGGTTTTAAAGGGCCAGGCACACGCAGGCTGGGCCTGAGAAACACACTGAGGTGCTGGGCCCAGGGGCACCCCAGTGTGTGCAGTGAGCGGAGCTGATCACCGCTCTTGGCAGGGATCTCCGGGTCAGTAGAACTGCAGCTCCTTCTTTGCCTCGACCTTCCTTCAGGAAATTCTCTGAAGAGGCTGAGTCCACATTTCATGCTGTCTTCCAGGTTTGAGGAGAGTAAGTTTGAGAATCCTCCATTTTTTTCTCCAGAGCTGAAGCGCAGGGTCCGGAACTTCTATGACATAGATCCCTTTCTAGAGCATTTAATGAAGCAGTTGAAAGGTACGAAAGAGATGCAGGTAGCAAAAGGTCACTTGAATGTTGGCGAGTTGGAAGCATGGGGAACTTGAGGCACACTTAAGTGCAACTTTAGATTTTTAAAATTTTGCCATTCACAGCATTCCCAAGCCAGAAGTTGTAGGCCATTTTTCTGCCTGAACTTGCATAAGATAGCAGCCACACAGATATGGCACCTGTCCCTTTTTCCTCTGCAGTGGAGGGCAGGATGTGTTCAAATGGAGCAAAGCTCAGGGAACCAAGATTTAGGGTGGATGCCAGGAAGTACTTCCTGATGGTTAGGACCCCTAGGGCATGGAATGGGCTTCCACAGGAGGTGGTTGAGGCCCCATCGATGAGGGTGTTCAAGGATAGGCTGGACGTGCACATGGTAGGCATGTCATGAGGAGCCGGCTGGAGCCGGTAGTCAGACCAGATGGCCCAGGAGGCCCCTTCTGACTTGCGCTGTTTCTATGTTTCTATGGTATTCGGTTGAGAAGACAAAATAAGTTCATTGTAGAAGGGGTGTTGGTTGAAATTGCTCCTGCAAACTTGGCACAAATAAGATTAGAAGCATTACCTCCAAAACATGTGAAGTAATAGTGAAGTTCCACTATAATCATCACCAGTCAGACCTCACCTGGTATACAGTGTCCAGTTCTGGGAATCTAAATTTTAAAAAGATGCAGAAAAACTAGAAAGGGTGCAGAGGAGGGAAATATGGATGATTCAGGAACTGGAGGCAAAACCCTGTGAGAAAAGACTGAGAGAACTGGGCATGTTCAGCCTCAGGAAGGGAAGACTGAGGGGAGATATAAAAGCACTCTAGAAGTACCTGAAAGGCTGTCACAAAGAGGAAGGACAGGATCGCTTCTCATCCATTCCAGAGTGTGGGACATGGAATGACAGACAGAAGTTAAAACAGAGAGAAGTTAACAGCGGAAAGATCTTCCTCTTTCCGCGCCGCCCGGACCAACACCGCCCGCGGCCGCCGGCTGCTGCACTGCTCTCCAGAGGCCAGGACCACCAGCCCAGGACCCAGGACCCGGCTCCGGCCTCCTCCCTCGCGCAGGTGAGAGACGTGCTGGGAGGGAGCAGAGCTTGGGGAGGGCCCTGCAACCCATTTGGGAGCCATTCGGGGGCCGAGCGGGGGGCTGGGCTGGCCAGGGGCCATGTTTTTCTTGGTCCACCTGCCATGCCGCGCTGCACTGTTGCTGCCGCCGGACTGGGGCGTACCGCCGAGCCGGGGGCCAGCTGACGCCGCTCCTGCGGCCATCGCTGGATCACCCTGGGCATGGAGGACGCCAGGGCCATGCCAGGCCCACCGCCGACGGCGCGGAGGAGGGTGCCGCCATCTTCCCGCCTGATGGGTTTCCGCGCCCCTCCCTGCTCCCCCCGCCGGTGCTGGTGAGAGCGATGCCAGTTTGGGGCGGGTTGTGCGGGTGGGCGCCGCTTTAACCCCAACGGACATCGGCCGCATTCTGCGGCTCAGTTTACCTTCTGTGCCGCGCTGCGCAGTCACTGCCGCTGCTGCCAGACTGGGGCACATCACCGAGGGAAGGGGGAGGTTTTTTTTATTGTTTTTATAATTTTATTGTATTTTAATCTGTTTTAATTGGTTTTTATGGAGTTGACCCTGGCCATGTCGACATTTGTGTTTCCTGGGGAGCGCGGGGGCTTAACGTGTCTGCGTAGAAGGAGGAGGGACGGATGGTTGACACCTGTCCCTCCTCCTGGTTTTGCCCCCAGCCAGAGGGTTCCAGGTAGTCTTGTCAACCGCCCCTCGGGCCTGACGGTGCTGTTGCTCAATGCCAGGTCGGTCAACAATAAATCTTCCCTCATCCATGACTTGATTGTGGATGAGGGGGCCAGCCTGGCTTGCATAACGGAGACCTGGGCGGGAGAGGGGGGGGATGTCGCCCTCTCTCAAATGTGTCCATCTGGGTATCTGGTTCAGCACTGTTCATGCCCGGAGGGGAGGGGAGGGGGAGTCGCTTTGGTTTACCGAGCCTCCCATCTCCCTCACGTGCGGTGGGTTGGCTGGACCAGCCAGTCAACCTCGGCAAGCGGCGCGAGAAAGTTTAGAGTGAAAGAAAGACACTACAGACAGAAGTTCAGCTTCGGAGCTTGCTGGGTTGAGATCTCGGGGGAACAAAGGAATCTGTTTTACTTTCACTCCCGGCAGCTCCTTTTATTACGTTGGTAGTTTTACATAGGTATCTACCTATGGCCAATGGACCGTCGAGTATATGCCGGCCAACACCTAGTGCTTAGGTTACCAGCCTTATATGGTTACACAGGTAAATACAGTACTATTGGCTGTGCGAACAATGGCGTGAAACTATAGCATGACCCAGCGCGGCCGCCATAGCGTACGTCACTACCGCGAGACGCAGCGTGACCTAGTGACTGTGCGTAGCAATACAGCGATGTACTCCCACACTCACGGGACTTCCGGTCCCTTCGAGACCAGGGCTGGAGTGCCTCTACTTGGTGTTGGGTGACCGAGACAGATTGGGGATTCTGTTGGTCTCAACATGTCACCGGCCCGACCCATGAATGTGGACACACTCTGGACCTGGTTTTCTTGACGGGGCAGGAAGAGGGTGGTCTGAGGGTGAGGAATTTATGTTTGATTCCCCTGTCATGGTCAGATCACTTCCTGGTGAGGTTTGTGCTTGAGAGCAACCTCTCCCTCTGCAAGGGTGCGGACCCAATTGTGTGGGTCAACCCTGTAAACACTGGTTCTGATGGAGGCTGGTCCCAACAGGTGTACATTTTTCATCCTCGTGCATTCTTTTGAGGAATGCAGTTTGCACTGTGTTCCCACATCCCTTGCACAGTTTGTTCCTTATGTGTAGATGTGTGGTCCACTTTTAGTGTCTGATTGCTTAGAACAGCTCCCTTGAACCCACGAACGTGATTCTCCATCTTCTTTCCTCAATCCAAGCACTTGGCGCATTCAGAGGAGTTTCTCAATACAAGGTTTATCTCGTGAGAAACTCTCCTGCCACATTCACCTGGTGCCTCACCTGTGTGGAGTCTCAAATGGTAAGCAAGGTTATAGCTACGACTGAAGCACTTCCCACACTCTGAGCATTTATATGGCTTCTCTCCCGTGTGGATTCTCTGATGACAAACAAGGTCTGTCCTCTGGTTGAACCTCTTCCCACAGTCTGAGCATTCATACGGTTGTTCTCCAGTGTGCACTCTTTGGTGTTTGTAAAGAGTAGAGCTCTGGTTGAAGCACCGTCCACACTTGGAACATTTGAATGGTTTGTCCCCTGTGTGGACTCTTTGATGTCTATTCAGGTGGCACCGTTGACTGAAGTTCTTTCCACACTCAGAACATTTCCACTGCTTCTCACCTGTGTGTACTCTCTGATGTCTGATAAGATTGTCACGCCGGCCAAATCTTTTTCCACAGTCAGAGCACTGCAGAGGTACTTCCAGTAGATATAATATTTGATGACTTCTAGCTGAGCCGCCGCCAGACAGAGGGCCGGCCTGTCTTCGTGTTCCTTCTTGATATTCTCCTGGAATCAAAATGTCGTGGAAGTCAGACTCTTTGGACAAGGTGGATCCTTTTCTACGTCTCTGCTCTGGTGCTCCAGTTTGCCTTCTCTGCTGTTCAGTGCCACTCTCATTCTTCCTTGCTTCCCCTAGGAGAAAGAAACGAAGCTCCAAATCAGGCAAAAAGCCCAAGTAACAGGACAGTCTTTGTTGGGAGGCAAACGCTGCCATACACTTGCGAGTATTTATAATTAATTTGTGAGTGTGTATAAACTGCTTACATGTCCAGATTGTATGACAGTGTGCACAAATTGTGAAAACAAAAAACTGATACACTGAAGATGTAATCCAATGTGAGTTTTGGAAGAAAAAAGGCCCACTACACACACATGCCAACTACACAGCTGGGGCTTGCCGAGATTTCTACGTCATTTTTCCATCTAAACTTGCATAAGACTTTACCTTGAATCACTGTGCCTTATCCATGTATCTGTAAGAATAAAATTCAACTACTCTTGCATACTATGGAATTTACTGCCATGGGAAGCGGTGATGGCCACCAATCCGGATGGCCTTAAAAGGGGCAGGACAGATTCATGAGGGAGGGGGCGCTCTGTGGCTACTAGCCCTGCTGGCCCTGTGCTGCCTCCTTCACCAGGGATGTCATGCCTGCACACACCAGCTGCTGAGGGGCTTGGGCAGACAGAGGCCTTGCACCCCTCCTGCTTGAGGGATCCTGTGGGCAGCTGGTTTGTCACTTGGTGTATAGAGTGCTACACTAGATGGAGCTTTGGTCTGCTCCAGCAGGACTTTTATGTTCTTACATCTTTAACATGCACCTAGAAATAACACTTGTTGGCACATATCTAACCTTGGGGAGAACATTATCCCAGACAATCAAAAAATTTCGTATTACAGCGTTTCTATCTACTATCACTGTTTATAAGGAGATAAAAGACTTCCATAACATACTTCATAAGTTTGATATATGTATTTACAGCCTTTATATACTGCTTTGTGTCCAATGTAGTATACTCGGAGTATGAAATATGGGGCAGCTGTTGCAGACTGCAATTACTGCAAAACACAGCTGCAGAACTGGGAACCGGACAGGCCTTCTGGTCATCTTTGCACCAGCGTTTTGCCAGCCAAATGGAGGCCTATCTTTGCACAGGCTGGCATTCCACACCCTCCCGCAACACTGGCCAGCTCCGCACTCCTGTCAGCCTCGCCAGAAGGCGGATGCGCACGGGGCAGGAGGAACAAAGCCCCCCGAGAGTGGCTGCCCGAGTGCTTGCCCGAGCCGACTGAGAGTCGTGCTGGAGTGCACACCCAAAGGGAGATCTGCAGCAATGGCAGCGAGGCAGGGCCAAATCGGGTGGGGTGGGAGAAGACGGCCCAGGGCTGGGGGGAATCCAGTGCAAGGGACAACGAAAGCGGCGGCACTGAAGTCGGAACGTTGCAAGGAGACTGCAGGGGGGTCGGCTACTCATACGGGGCTGCAGCTATGGGCTGCGGGGGCTGCATGCAGACTGCGCATCTCAGTAAAAAGCAGCTCTTTAAACACGGCTTGGAACAAAACGAAACCAGTTCTTTGATGGAAGTCCGGGGAAATAGGCTGTAAAACACATACCAGAAAGCAATCTGGCTGCAGCATTTTGCACCAGCTTTTTATTTTTTTTATTTTTTTGGATTTATATCCTGCCTTTTTCCTACAGTGGGCTCAAGGCAGCTTACATCATTCTCCTCCTCCATCTTATCCTCGCAACAACAACCCTGTGAGGTGGGGTGGGCTGAGAGTCTGTGACTGGCCCAGAGTCACCCAGTTGGCTCCGTGGCCGAGCAGGGGCCAGAACCCAGATCGCCTGAGTCCCAGTCCCACGCTCTTAACCACTGCACCACACTGGCTCTTTTGTTTCTGAACACTTTCCTGTGGCAGCCCATGTAGAACATGTTCGATAAACTAGATTGCTTTGTCTCCTTGCAGTCCCGATGCTTCTCTTTTTACCATTGGAACCCTCCCATTTTTTTACTTGTCAGAGTTTTAACATTTCCACTGTACCTTTCATTTAATACCATAATGGAATTTATTTGAAGGGTGGAAGAGAAATTCCCAAAATCGTACAGCGAGGACGGAAGGAAGGATACCTACCCAGAGAGGCCAAATTCTCATAATTCTCTTCCATTACATCCCTGGGCAGAGCCCTCTGGTCCAGACCCAGCAGGGCCCACTCCTCCTCCGTGAAGCACACGGCGACCTCCTCAAAAGTCACCGGACCCTGAAAGGAGAAAACCTATTTTCCCCGACAGGTAATATAGCAATCCCAGAGGACAGCCGATTGAAGGTGTTTGGAGGTTCTTCTGAAGGATCCAACGCTTCTGGGGTGACACTCAAAGCTTTCCCTGTGGAACAGTCTTAAGAGAAGCCAAAGAATCAGATTCTTTTAGGCCTAGCAAGATGTGCAGGGCACAGAGAAGCCCAGGTGGTTCTGTGCTTCTCGATCCACTTGTTCTTCCCCTACCTCATCCTGCTGCAATGGAGCGGCTTCCTCTCCACTACGAAGTGAAGGCCAGGAGCGGATTGTGAGTGCTGCTCCATTGCCTGCGAAGGAGAGAAAGGGGAACAGAGGTGGTGGTAAGACATGTGACCCTATTCGCTGGCTGGCCTAGTTCAACATGTGACCATACCTGGAACACAGCAGACCGCTTTGGTCACCCTGTCTCAGTAAAGATATTACAGGATTGATAAAGAAAGGTGACGAAAAAGGCAAGCAGGGGGATAAAGGGGTTGGAGCAAAAGGGAATAAAAGCTAGAATGTTTGGAGCTCTGTGGTGTCATATGCTACGATCACCTTAGGATGCAGTCCGATCCTACTATCACCTTTGCATCCATTGCTTGCTTATTTATTTGATTTATATCCCACTTTTCTTTATAAAGAACTCAGAGTGACTCACATCATTCCTTTCCACTTGTTTTTACTTTGTCCTGTTTGCTGCTATGGATCTCCTTGGATAAGTAGCAGTATACAGATATTGTACATAGATAGATAACTAAATAAGCTGGCTATCTTCCTTTTGTATAGGGATTGCCTTCCCAGCATGCCTTTTTTTCTTTCTAAGGATTCAGTGATTTCAAAGAATGTTTAGAAAATTCAGTGGCTGAAACTTCCTAGACTTTTCACTTTTGTGGTTCTTTTTCTGCCAGAAAGAATTATTATTCATTAGATTTATATCCCACCTTTTTTTCTTACAAAGAACTCAAAGCACCTTACATCATTCTCCTCCTCCATCATATCCTCACAACAACAACCCTGTGAGGTAGGTTGGGCTGAGAGGCTGTAAGTGGTCCAAACTCACCCAGTTGGCTCCATGGCTGAGCGGGAACTAGAATCTGGATTGCCTGAGTCCCAATCCTGCGCTCTTAACCACATTAGGCAGTAGCCTCCAAGAGCGGGGTGGGGTTCCAATCAGTGAGTGCTTTGCTGGGCTGCTGCCCATAGGACTGAAGGAGCAACAGGGAAAGTTTTTGCCTTTCTGCCCCGCTTTTCTTCTCCTCCCAATGAACTCCTGAGGCTGTCTAGCTGAGGCATGCTGGCTGGAACTTTGGCAAGAGGATTCCAAAATACCCTACAGTTCTTGGAATGCTCTCCAGAGTTCACAGGATTGATCTCATAAGTAATTAAAGAATCTTGTATCCCTGGATGCTTTCCCTGAACCCTGTTTCTAATCTTACCGACACTTGTCAGGGAACATCTTGTGCTTTGGACACTTGAAAGACTGATATCAAAATGGAAAGATCAGGGGACCTGTCCTAATGGTACAGGTTGTCTGATGCCAGGACAGACGGCAACAGGAGGTGGTGGGCTTTCCTTTGGTGGTGGGGCATCGAAGGAGAGGCTGGATGCTGAATTTGCAAACTTGCTGGATTTGCTATGTGGTTGTTCTAAGGGACTTTCAAAGTAACTTCCAGTTCTACAGTTCTTTGAAATAAGGTACAGGAGACTCTCGACTATCCGGCTTGCGACTATCTGGCCTAGTTAAAAAATAACTATCAATGAACAGTAAAATAAGTTTAAATAATTTTTGTAAGAATTAAGCCTACGGTTTACGTTAATGTTTTGTTTATTTTAAAAGTGTATGTATTCATACTGTACAGTATACATGATTTTATGTTTCCTGCAATTAAGTTAGACATAAAATTTATCTTAAAATGTGTACAATATTTTTATCCTTGGACTTCCTTTTTCTGTAATAAATTTTTAAAATGTACAATACAGTACACAACAAACATTTATAAAGTACTGGCCTGTACTAAGAAGTCAGAAAATATGATTAAGAGCGGGTTTTGGTATAAAAAGGGTGTTTTAATGGTATGGGTGAGGTAGGAAGTGAGCATTTATAGAACTCCGGCCTATCCGGCTTTTTTGTTATCCGGCCTGCCCTTCTGCCACATTAGGCCAGATAGTTGGGAGTCTTACTGTACTATAATTCCTTACCCAGGGAAGGGGCATCTCCATTGTTGTCCTGCATGTTGCTTCTGGACAGAGGGCTCTGCCTGATGTCCCAGAAGTCCTTCTTTGTCCCAGAAAAATCAGAAGCCACCTCCAGGAGTCACTTCTGCACCTGTAACAGAAGTTGGGATGCCGGGCACAGAACGGGGAGAGGGATTATGAGAAGACTAGGTGGGTGGATAACCCCTTCCTGGAATGAATACAAGGAAAAAAACCTCGGATAAATTATGGATTCTGTGTTCTTTTGCTCACATTATTGGCTCCACAGCACCGTAACATTCTCATCTGCAGATCCTTTTGCTCCTCTGCCTGGTTCAGGAGGAAACCTTCTGCCAGGGCCACTGCCTGAGAAGTTGTGTCTGCTCCACATTCCCTGACCCACTTCTCCATGTCTGGGGGCAGGACAGTCAGGAACTGCTCGAGGATCACCAGGTCCAGCATTTGAGATTTTGTGTGCCTTTCTGGCTTCAGCCACTGATGGCAAAGGTTGTGGAGATGGCTGCAAATTTGCCGGGGGCCCTCAGCCCGCTGGTAGCAAACCTCCCTGAAGTGCAGCTGATGGGTATCTAAGCTGGTCCCTTTTACCTCCACGGTTGTCCCACTGCTCCCAGCTTGGGTGAGATGCAAGGCAGTCTTTGCCTTGGGGTCAGCTGAGTCTTGTTTGTCCATCTTTGATCTCTATTTCTGACTCAACCTCAACAAGATTTGAAGGACCTCCTTGCTCTGCTAGCAATTTCCTTCTTGAGGCAAAGAGGGCCAGATCCGGGGCTGAGAAGGAGACCACTCTTTAAATGCCTCAGGTCATTTTGCATGCAAGTGTCACACGCCCCAAGCAGGAAGATCCTTTGCAAGAAGCCATGGATAATTCTGGGAATTCTTCCTATAAAGAATGCAGATAAACTCCTAATATTAGAGACTAATATACATATATACAGAGGAAGATAGCAAGCTCCTCCTCCTACGAGAAACAGATCCAAAACTTCAACTGCCTGATAACCAGGTAAGCTAACAGAGCATCCCTCACATTGCACCAACCCCAGCAATGCACCCTGCCGCTGCCCACCACAGCCGAGTCTGCTTCACTCTCTTTCTCTCCATGAAACCCCCTCCCAAATTCCGCCCAGGTTCCCAATGCTGCTCCACAAATGCACACCGTTTCACAGCAGGGTGTCTTGTGTGTGAGCTCTGTCTGCTCAAGGCAGCACCAGCCCCTTTTCACTTAGCACAGAGAAGTTAAAAAAGCAGCTGTCCAATATGTGGGTGCTGCAGATGAGTCCCAAGTGGGTCAGCCGCACAGCCCACTTCCCTTCGGGGTGAAACTTGGAGAGGGGGAGGAGGGAGGGGAGGGGAGGCAAGCATCACAAGCGCTCTCTCTGCACCCCCACCTGTCACTACGTCCTGTACCGCCTCCATTCATTGCTTGGGGATCTCTTCCAAATCCCCTTCCCCGTTTCTTGTCTGGGCCTCCCCGAACCCCGAAGCACTCACCAGACCCCTTGGAGGAAGGAACGTGGGGAGGGAGAAGGGGCTACTGACGCTACTGGCACAGGAAAAGGCCACGCTGCTTGGCTTAATGCACCCTGCAGCACGATCCCTGCTTCCCATAACGCATTGCCTTGCACCCACTCGCTTTCCCTCCAATGCACTTTTGCACGCACCGGAACCCCTGCAGAGAAGGCGGCGGCGGCGGGGTGCGCGGGATCGGCGCCACAGCCCCACGCGGGAGGCGGGGCAAGGCGGGAAGTGAGCGTGCCATCGCCTCCCCAGGCATCCCGACTCACTCCCTTTAACGCTAAAATACCCGTTCATCTCTCCCCTCGGAGACCGCGCACACCCCCGCTCTTCCCAGCAAGCTGTCAAGGGGAACCAAGTGGCGAGCGGCGGGAGGAAACGATCGCAAGCTTCGGCCGGAGCAATGTCTGGTGTGTCTCCGTTGCCCCTTGGCAGCCGGGACCTCTTGCCCCAGAGAGGCTTGAAATCCACCCATCTGCGCTTAAGCGAATGAGAGTCTCTGTGCAAATCGGAGTAATAATTTTATTTTAAAATTATTTTTATGCATATATCTGTGCATTTTTTAAAGGCCGGGCAGCCAATAGGCAAGCACTCCCGAGTGCTGCTAGGCAGCAAAATGGGTTTCGTGAAAAGTTGTCTGACAGCCAGTTTAAAGGGGCAAAAACGCTGCAGCGAGTCAGAAAGGTTGTTAGCGGTGGGAGGTGGGGAAGGCTTTGCTAGTTGCCCCGAAGTGCTGCTTTTGAACTTTGGGGGTAGTAGGCAATAGTGCTTGCCTGGTAGTTGCCTGGTAAGGGTATTTCTCAGGGGTGTTTTGCCATCGGTTGGAGTACAAACGGTGTGTAAATCAACCCCCAGACCAAGTGATGGGCTCTCAGGCTGGCTTTAGAAAGGCAGCTTAAGCAAAACAATGGCAGGTTTGCACAAGTTACCTCACTGTGGCTTATAGGTCATATGAAAGCAGTCCTTGGCTGCCTCTCTTTCCTAGAGAAGCCTTTTCACAAAGCGTCCCGTCTCTTTGCAAGTCAGCACATATAGAGAAGTAATTCTTTGTATTACCTTCCATTTTTTTAAATCTAAGTGGTCTCTGTGCCAATTATTCTCCTTCCTCCCTTTTCCTAATATCCTACCCCAGCTCCCTGTCTCTCTTTTGTGCCCATCTACCCATTTTCCCTGAAAAAAAATCCTGCATTTGCACTAATCCCTCTTCCAACCCCTTCACACTTCCCTGCAACTGTTTCTCCCTTGCTAAAAGTATCTCAGACGGAATCCTCTTTTGCTTGTACAATTCTCTCCCTGCTTTCTTATAATCAGATAATAAGACACACACGCACTCAATACTCACACCTTGTTGGAAGTTAATACTCTGCTCTTTGAGGTGCCACAGCTCCATTATGCTTGTTTTGAACAAGTACACGTGTACACAGATACCCTGTAAAACTGTTCTCTTTGAGGGCACACAAGCACATACGATTTTCTGTGCAGTCCCAGTGTTGATTCTAAATGCCTTTATCTTCGTCCTTCTCGGTGTTAATATATTGCTCTATTTTTCCTGATGTGTGCTTTTAATTCATTTCAAATTATTCTTTAATAAAATAAAGCATGGCTTTCAAGGAACTCCCTGTTGTCTCTCAGCCTTTAGGGGGTATCAGGTTTTCTTAACCATCCCAGGAATCAGTGACAAATGGTCCCTTACGCACCTGTTTCGCTTACCTGTATGTATGCATGCATGTAGATTAAAGCATACTTTGTAACGCGTACTATCAGGTTTCAAAGGAGATTTACACATAACTTTCACAAGACCAATAGGAGTGCAAAGGGCGGGGAAAAAGGGCTTACGCTAGCCCGTTTTCTAAGCGAAACAATCCTTCAGCAAGGTGTTAATGGCATTTTCTAGTAAAGGAGACTATGATTAATTAGAAAGATTAAGATGTGTTCAGAAAGTGGATTTTTGAAGTCTGTAGAGAAGAGTCATCGGAACCCACAAAGATCCATAGGCACCTGATGATATTTAATCATCAGTACTGGTATTGCAATCCCGTTAGTGCTTTTGTATTCCTGCTTGCATTGTGAATATCTCATTTTTTTATCCCGTTGTATGTCCATCGGATGTGCCCCGAGTCTAATATTGTTTTCACTGGAGAAAGAAATGTTTCCTGAATGAGGCACTTCTGTATCTTTTGGGAAAACACTTCATGTAGTTTTCGGGGTTTGGGGGGTGTGATATACTCTGGAGTAAGGCGTGGAGGACTTTGAGGTTCTCCCGTCCCCGCGATCGGTAGCTTGATGTGCGCATGGAAGATCTGGCTGCAACGGGCTTAAGGAGAACATGGGATTTTGGACCATCCCTTGGCTCTCAAAATACTCTGATACTTGCAAAGCATGTTGCTATATATGTCCCTCCCTCCTACCTGGAGCTGCTGTTCTCTCAATTCACGCCCATTCTTTCGCAGAGCAGCCCTCGTTTTAGAGATGTCCTCCAATCCGGAAGAGAAACCCACAGGCAGGAAGAGAAACCCAAACCGAGGAAAACGAAACTAGCGCCGGTGGCTGTGCTTTCTGGGTGAGGCCGCCATGGCTGCTCCCGGGACTACCGTGCACGAGCTCTGCGAGGAAGCCACATGCTCCATCTGCCTGGACTATTTCATGGATCCCCTGATGGTCGCAGAGTGTGGGCACAATTTCTGCCGAGCCTGCCTGAGCCAGTACAGTGGGGAATCGGACGTGCAGGCCTCCTGCCCCCAGTGCAGGGGGACCTTCCAGAAGAGGAACCTCCGGCCCAATCGGCAGCTGGCTAACTTTGTGGAAATTGCCAGGAAATTAATAGGGCAGGGGGTCCAAAGGACCGAAGGGGTCGAAGGGAAGGGGCAAGTCTGTGAGAAGCACCAGGAGCCCCTGAAGCTTTTCTGCAGGGACCACGAAGCCCCCATCTGCGTGGTGTGCGACAGAGCCAAGGAGCACAAGGATCACCAGGTGGTTCCCCTGGAGGAGGCGTCCCAGGAGTACCAGGTAGGAGATCCGTGTACATTCTGATGGGGAAGAGAAATACCTGTAGGCTCCTCTAAGCATCGTCTCCGTGAAGACATTCCAATAGGAAAGTATTGGTGCTAAATGACCCACTGATTGATTTCTTTTCTGTACTGCCCAGTAACCACAGGTCTCTGGAGGGACCAGGCATGATTGCTATTAACTTGCATGTTCTTTGTTATGCAAGTAGTCCCCCCAAGGAAGCCGCAGAAGCTTCAGGATTGTGGGGTGCGCTGGGTGGGTAGTTTAATTTGTTCTCTTTTAGCAGCACCCTGTACCAAATCTGGGTTATGCAGAGCCAAAGAAAGGCAATTGAAATGTTGCAGGGAGTGGAGGACTCCCAAGTGAGGGAAGGTCACTAGGTGGTTCCCCTGGAGGAGGCATCCCAGGAGTACCAGGTAGGAAGATCATGGTTGGATTTCCCTGTGCAAGCAGAATAACGATAGATTTTTGCTGAAATGCTGTGCTCTCCTCTAAGGAATTCCTGGGACCAAACTAGATAAGTTCCTAATTGCCTGAAGGTGCAATTATTATAATTCACATTCATAGGTTTTTCTCCTGTGAACCTCAGGAGTGGGGCAGTGGGGGGAGAGTTGAACTCCCTGCCTTGTTCCTGTTTGATGCCATAGTGTGAATGGGAGCTTTTCTAGACACACCAGAGCTGCAGTGCTAGCCCAGGGACCACAGAATGATTCTCCAGCTGCTGCCTCTGGGCAAATGGAGGCAGCTGCCTCAGAAGGAAGATTTTGGGTTGCAAAACTGTTATTTAACTTTGCTATTGTTCTGTTATTAACTCCCAGAAAAAGAAACTCGCAGAATTTTCTGCTCTGGGTGCCAAAGTAAACTTGGCTAGAATTGAGGAAAGGGCATCATTTGGTATTCTGCCTCAGACAATGGAATATTTTGGGGTACCCACCTTAACGTGTTACTAGATATAATAAACTGGTGCAGGGAAAGCGAATCAGGAGACATTTCTTCCCTCTCTCAAATTACTGGAACCCATTGGGGTAGTCCTATGAAGCGAATTAATGTGAGATCGAGGACAAATAAAAGGTGCTGTGCTTTTTCTCACAGCACCCCTAAAACTATGGGTCTCACTTCCACAAGCTGTAATGATGGCCACCAGTTTGGAAGGCTGTAAAAGGGGACTGGACAGCTTCGTGGAGGAGTCCCGATGGCTGCAGGCCTTCCTTCAGTATCAGCCCTGATGGCTGTATACACCAGTTGTTGGGGAAGATGGGGCCGGGGGAGGGGGGTGCTGTTTCGTGCCTGTTCTGTTTATGGGTTTTTTGCGGGTAGTTGGTTGGCCTGCCTGAACAGAGTGCTGGAATAGGCGCTCTGATCCAGGAGGGCTCTTCCAAGTTTTTTAACGAAGGTCCTCGAAAGGTTGATCCCCGCAGACAAGACCCGTTGCCTGGGACAAGGAACAGGAGGGTGTCCCTCCCAGCGATCCTCAGAGGGACACTAGCCAGACTGAGGCTGACCCTGGTGACAAGAGCAGAGGGCTAGTTTAGGAGGCCTCGTGCTGGCCACGTGGCACATGGAACTCTGTCCTCCGATACCTCATGCCGTGCTCTCTGCTCTTCAGAGCTCATGCCCATTTTGTTTCATTTCTATAGCCGGCACTCTGAGCAGTTTGCAAAGGTTAAAAACATTTGCATCACAATGCCGTACATGAGATACAAAACCCTTTCAAATATAATATGTGCATGTTATGTACAAATGTATAAACAGGCAACACACATACCCATGCAAGTTTTACAATCAACACTAAGAAAAGCCAGGATTAAACCCTGATTAATCCCGAAGTGCTCTTCTAGGAGAAATCCCTGATTTAAAAACTTCTCAAATGCCTGAAAGTAGAGGAAGGTCTTAAGCTGATGCCCAGAAATAACAAAACTGGTGACAGGTAGATCTCACTGTGGGGATCGTTCCATAACTGGGTGGCAGTGGGTGGACACTGTGGAGAAGGCCTGCTCACTTGCTGCCACATTTCCGGTGCCGCTCAGCAGAGATACCTGGAGGGGGGCCTTAGATGATAAACAGAATGAATTGGAAGGTTTGTGCTGGGAGAGGTGTCAGGTAAGGCTCAAAACAGCACCTTGAATTAGGCCCAGAAATGTGCAGGTCGCCAGTACAGGAGGGCCCAGTTCAGTGTTAAATGTTCAGACCTTGCCGCTGTTATCGTTCCCGCCACCCGAGACTCCTGCTCAGTTGTATGGTTGGTTTGATCCCAGGCAGGGGACAGCAACGAGTGAAGATCGTGTTCAGCTCTTCCTCTCTCTTAACCAAACCTAATCTTGTTCCTTTCTCTGCGCAGGATCAGATCCTCAGTCGTTTGGACATGCTGAGAAAAGAGAGAGAGAAAATTCTGGCATATAAAGCGGACACTGAAAAGGAAAACCAAGACCTGCTGGCAAGTGTTGACATGCTTAGGAAGGGATCAACCAATAGGTGGGAAGACCTGAAATAAAACGCAGAAGATGCGAAAGCCACAAGGAGGCCCCGCCACACACAACACCTCTTAATTGAAAATGGGCAGAGCCACCATAAAATCATTAATGAAAGATATGCTTAATTATATTTGATTTATTTATATCCCACCTTTCCACTAGATATAGTGTGCAAGGCAGGCGTGCAGGGAGGACTCTTGTAACAAATCTTTAATGGGGCAAACTTATCCACGTTTAGGCAGAAAAAGCCCTACAGCTCCTATCGTGCCCCAGCCAACATGGCATCGTCCTGTCTTCACTGAATGTTGATTTCTTAGCCACGACCAGACAGAAGTATCTTTCCTGCCTTTCCCAACACGCCTTTTCGTGCACCTGCGCTCATGACGTTGGCCTCCCTTTCTGTCTTGTCCGTTTTTTAATTGCAGAAATTAACAGAGAAGGAGAGGCAGCGGACCGTGGATCTGTTCAGGCAACTACACCAGTTTCTGGCCATACAAGAGGAGCTTCTGCTGGCCCAGATGGACGAGGTGAAGCAGGGGATTGCAAAGAAGAGGGAGGAGCACATGGCAGTTCTGACGTGGGAGATCTCCAGTCTCGAAAGTCTCATTCAAGAGCTGGAGGAGAAATGCCAGCAGCCAGCAGGGGAGCTTGTGCAGGTAAGACGGGGCAGAGGAGCCCCGCCTGCTCTTCAGGCTTGGCTGCAAACCTCGGTGTGCGTGCGCCATAGCACCGAAAGGAAGGGGCCCAGGCAGATGGCCAGCGTGTGGCTTCTCCCGGGCCAGCATTGCCAGTGTGAAGCTGGACTGGCAGTCAGTCTGAGCCATCCAGGCTGCCCTTCTGCACTCTTTCAAGGACGTGACCTTGGACAACGTGAAAGGGCAATATCTAAACGCACTTGGGCTGTGTCGTTTCCCTCACCACAAGAGAAAACCATGCAGTGGAATAAAGAGAAAGGTTTCTGTAAAACTAGGGAGATTTCCACCTGCCACATATCCAGCAAATAGCTATCCATGAGCCATCCTGGAAGTCCTCCTGTATCTTTGTGCAAGAACGCACATGGCAGGGCCGGCCAAACCAAGGCTTGGGAGCTGCATGCGGCTCTTTGGGATTGTTTTGTGGCTCGCTGCTGTGGGCGCCTGCTTGCTGCTCACCCCCTGCCGCCCCCACTCACGGGCGCCCGCTCGTGGCTCTCAAACATCTGATACTTACCATATGTGGCTCTTCTGTGGAATGAGTGTGGCCACCCCTGGTGGATGGCATGCAGGTAAAATCAAAGAAGAAGCCTGTTTCTTCCTGCCCCCTGCTCATTGACCTGGTTCTCATGAAACTGGGCTGGTTTTAACGTATAAAGCCTTACATGGTCTGGGACTGCAAAGTCTGGCTCTCCTGACCTTAACTTACCCGGATGCTGTGATCAACATCTGGGGCTTTCTGCCAGGTTCCTACTTCTGAGGGAGGCTTGCAGGGTGGTGGTGAGGGCCTTCTCGGTGGTGGCACCCTGATTCTGAAATGACCTGCCCACTGAGTGCTCTGGTGCCGATGCTGTTGTCTTTCCAGCGCTAGCTGAAGGCCACCCTCTACTCCTGTGTATAGGGTGGGGTGTTTATTTTGGTTGCCTTTTGGTATCTGTACTGAAACGGTTTTTAGCTGTTTACTATACTGATCCTATAGCCCCTCGATAGCCTCCAAGGTGGGAGGCAGAGCTCCAACTTCAGAACTGGGGTCTGTGGTTGGATCCCCCTTCCCCTTTGCAACCAGCGCAGAAAGATCCATGCCAGCTGTCTCTTCAAGCCTGCACGGCTGGCCTTGGAAAAGGGGTGAAAGGGAAACTCCAGGGGGTGAAAGGGAAACTCCAGGGGGTTGAGGAGGGAAGGAGACCTGGGTCACCAGGATGCAATGCTCCGCCCGCCTTCCTTCCCCCTCCAAAGAGCCGTTCTTGGCCCTCCAGGTGATGTTGAGTAGGAACTGGGAGGCGAAGGTCTCCTGCCATTTCCTTGCCATGCATGGGGTTGCCCTAATTCCCTAAGTCCGGCAGTGCATCGACCTCCCAGTTGGACTGATCGCTCAACGAATTTCAATTGTGTATACAGAAATTTTATGTTCTATTGTATTATCATCCTTGCAGTTTGCAATTTTATGAACTGTTGTGAACTGCCCAAAGGACTTCAACTGTTTGGGGGTGTAGAAATGAAATGAAGGAAATGGAGAAATAACAGCTCACAGCCCACCATGGCTTAATTTACCTGCTGGGGCTGTTCCATTGTGCAGAGAGCCTGTGGGTGCCATGTTTGCATGGGGCCCAGCTTGCAATATCCAGGTGAAAGGGTTGTTTGAGCAGAAGAACAACAAACTTGAAACAAACCGTGGGACAGTTGAAGGTTGGGGAGCCTTAAAATGTGACCTGCACCAGGTACTTAGACTCCCTCTTTCTTTCTTTCTCTCTCTCTCTCTCTCTCTCTCTCTTTTTCTCTAGGATGCAAGAAGCATCTTGAAGAGGTAAGTGGGCACCACACGTTTCCATCAGCCTTCCACAATGCTGGGGCATGCTGGGATGGCATGTGGGGAACCTGCCCTCCTGTTCCCCTGGGAAGAGAAAACCGGACTCCACGCCCTCCAGGATTTATTTATTTAGAGCATTCTAATCCCACGTCTCTGCCAAAATAGGCTCTTGGAGTGATTTATATGGAATCAGTAAAAAGAGACAATCTCTGTGGACAGTCTCAGACACAGCACACAGGGAAAATGGGATTATTATTTTTTATTATTGCATTATACCCTACCTTTCTTCCTCTTGCCAAGACAGCTTACAAGATTCTCCTTACTGTTTAACCTCAGAACAACAACCCTGTGAGGTAGTCAGGCTGAGGGTATGTGACTGGCTCAAAGTCACATGGGAAGCTCTGCGCAGATTCCCAGTCCAGCACTCTAACCACTAGGCCACAATAGGGTAGGGAGGAGGAGAGGAATTTCACAGGCAAGGCACGGGCATTGCTTTGAACTATGGCACCCCTTTTCTCGGGGTGGCACCCCTTTTTTCACTGCCACTCGGACCCTTCCCCTCCATCCCTTGGGACCAGAGGTGATTTTCTGCTTGCGTTCATCCAATTCCTTGCCTCTACAATCTCTAGAAATATCAAGGGCAACATTCCAAAGATGCTTTAGGCATGTTTATAGTTAAATGCCTGCCCAGCCCATTTTCAGCTCCTCCTCAGAAAATGGAAAAACCAAAACAAAACAAAGACAAACCTTCTGTCGCTTTTATGATCCAGACAAAATCCTTTCTATTGCCCAAGCTTTGCCTTACTTTGTAAACACGAACAGATTTGCAGTATCAATTCACTTGATTGTAGGGGAACGTCCTGCTCCTGTTCCATTAAGGTGCTTCTGCCCGATTTTCAGGGACCCCTCATGCCCCTCATCCCCATGGGCCACTGTGTGGGGCAGGGTTGGCTGGGCTGCTCGGGAGGAGCTGGCGTTGTGAGCCACGTGGCTGCTGCTAAAATTGTATCAAAGTGCCACTCGGGATCCAAGCAGAAAGGATGAGGAGCATCTCCCTTCTACCAATAAGGGCACCGATGTCAATTTTGTCCCCCCTTTGCAACCCTTCTGTTCTCCCCCTGCCGCAACGACATTGAAAAAGCTCAGTCTGGTGCTATGTCATTGCACAAGACGTTGTGGCCGAATGGAATGAGGCAGCTGCTGAGCATGTTTCTGTCTTGTGCTTCAGTACATAACATTAGGGGGGTCCGGGAAGATGACCCGTTGCTGCTCTTTTGGCCCCCAGGCGCCTGATTTTGGGGTCTCGGCACTCATTCTGAGCATCTCCTTGCGAATGTACCTTGCTCCTTCCTGCAGTTTTCTTCCTCCACACAGTCCCTTAATTTTGCTGCACCTGGGGAAGCTGGACTGGATTTATAGCAGGTAAACCTTGTTTTTTTCTCCACCAGGAGTGAAAAGGAGCCCTTTGAGAACCCAGCGGCTTTCCCTCTGGAGCTGAAATGGAAGCTCTGGGATTTCCGTGATACAATCCCCATCCTAGAGGGTGTGATAAAGAAATTCAAAGGTAATGAAATACGGCCATGAAGAGTTTGTGCTGGGCACCCTGTTGGTCCAAAAAGGAATGTGGTCGTGGTTTTTTAGGCTCCCCAGAGGGTGGCAGAAGCAATGGGGCCTTTTTCCTGGAGGTCCAGCCACCCTTTTCTTTTCCACCAAGAACAGGGTTGTCCTGTAGGGAGAGCTGCAAGGCCAGCCCTGTCTTCTGGAGGGCCCCTGGACAGCCCCGTGGGCTCCCACCCGCCGCAAATCCCCTTTCTCCTCTCCGCTGCCCCCACTGCCACGGGCCCTCAGCCTCTCCCTCCACATGGCTGCCAGGTGCTTGCCTGCCGGGCAGTGAGCCAGGAAGGGGGTTGGCGGTGGACCCTGCCGCTCCCCTGCTTGCTGCCGCCATCGCCTGGGCCAGAGGAGGAGGCAAGGAGGCTGTGGTCAGGGGCCCCTGCCTGGTGTGCACTCTCGGGGGGCAGCCAGGCATCGGGGCAGAAAAGGTAGCGGGGGGAGGGGGGAGAAACCTGTTTGCCTGTGCATAGGGGGAGATGGGACTTCGGCCCCTGTCAGTTCACACTCACTGAAATGGAGCCGCCTCTGCATTTTGCTGCCCATTGGCCCTTTGGAGGTGATCAAAGCCTGTTTGGCTTTTGACCCTCCTAAATAAATGGGTGTAATCCCGGAACAGGGGCTCCCTTGCTGAGACCCCTGCATGGATTAAACAGCAGGGGTCTCCTACTTCTTTCCCTCCTCTGAATCGCCATTCATTCCTCCTCCTCTTGTTCTTTAAATGCTTTCCAGTCTGTGGGAGTCTTGATTGCAGGACAAGTAAGCTTACCCAGCAGCCTTTGCCTGAGGGGCTTTTCCGGAGCTCCAAGTATAAAAAGTTAACCAGGCAAATCCGACGTGCCCTTGGGCCGTCCTAGCCATGGCAAGGCAGGTCTTGGCTGCTCCTTGGCTGCTCCTTTGGTTTCTCCTTCCTCAGGCATGAAAAGGAGGACGAGCGAGCCTCTTTCGCTTTGCCTCTGAGCCACCGTGCAAAGGGCCGCACATCCATCGGTCTCCCCCCACAGCTGCCAGGGAGGGCACTGCAGCGGTCCCTGCCTCAGCTATCAGAGTGTCTGGGGAGCTCCTCTTTTGCACGTGAAACTCTCTGGGTTTTCCGTGGGCGGTGGAATGGCATCTCTGTCACCACAGCTTGGGGGCGGTGCATCACCGTCCCTCACACTCGTGGCTTGTGGGGATGCGCTGCCCCCGGGGGTTTATGCATTTAGGCCCTTCTGGGGCTGCTTTGCTCTCTTGGCTGCTTGCGATGGTGGGCAGACAGGAAGAGGTGCGAAGTTAAGGCTGGATCTGCATGGGAGGTCAGGCCTGGGCAGCCTTGATCTACATGTTTGCTAATACCTTGGAACGATCGGTCTTGGTGAGGGAGAAGCCCTGCTGATTATAGGCCAGCAAGGGTTGTTCTTCCGCATAGGAGATGGGGAAACTGTTGCCTTTCTGATCTCGATGAACTGCTGCTCCCATAACCTTTCACTATTAGCCAGGCTGGCTGGGGCAGACGGGAATGATAGTTCAGCAGCAGCTGGAGAGCCACAGGTTTCCTAGTCCTGTATTTATGTGCAATAATTCTGATTTTAATAAAGCTTCCCTCTACCTGGGGCAGATTTTAGGCAGAGGCAATACTAAACCTAAGGGATGCAGGTGGTACAGTGGTTTAAACTGCTGTGCTGCTGGGCTGATTGATCAAAAGGTCACCGGTTCAAGTCTGCACAACAGGGCAAGTTCCCATTGCTCCATCCCAGCTCCTGCCAACCTTGCAGTTCGAAAGCATGCAAATGCAGGTAGATAAAAAGGTACCCCTTCAGTGAGCAGGTAACAGCGTTCTGTGCACCTTGGTGTTTAGTCATGCCGGCCACATGGCCACGGAGACTGTCTGCAGACAAATGCTGGCTCCCTCGGCTAGGAAACGGAGATGAGCACCGCCCCCTAGAGTCAGGCATGACTGGACTTTAATGTCAAGGGGAAACCTTTACCTTTACCTTTTTAATACTAAACCTGCTTAGAATTGTGCTGTTATTTGCATGCAATGAGGATTTCCCATCTGCCAGATTTATTTCAATTTCTACTTAAACTTTTACTTGAGATAAGGAAATTATAGATACTGTATGATGGAGTGTTTGTGTGTGTGTTAACAGGAGTTGTTCTGGTCACAAGGGAGCTGTGCTTAATCTTTACATCTTTTCCCTTCCCCCCAGATGCTTTGCTGTGCGGACAACAGCTGCAGAAAGGTATGCTTCCCAACTTACGAGGAGTGGCCACTGCTTAGAAATGTGTCTGGCTGCCTTTCACTGGGATTAGTGCAGGGGTGCAGAGCACCACGCAGGGGGCCAAATCCAGCCTTCCGGGAGTCCCAGTCTGGCTCTCCAGGTGTTCCAGGAAGGGCCCACTTCCTTCCCCCAGTCATTTGTCATTTGGTGGCTCCTTGCAGTTTTTCCCCCATTCCGAAATGGCTCTTCCAGCTAAACTCTGCTGGTGTTCTGGCCCTACCCTTTTGCCTTGAGTCACGCCCACCACAGACAGAGGCCCTCAAGAAATTTGGGGATCCCACACTTGGACTGAAAGAGCTTGTCTGTCCCTGGAGTAAAGAAATGTGTCCTGCAGACTTTGGAGCCTTCCCCACGTTAACTGTGAATTATGGGAAAGTCAAGTTGGGGAGGGGGGCATAAGGTTCCATCCCTGCACCCCATTTGCAGTCCTGCTTTTAGGGCTAAGACAGATTCTGTGGTACGTGGAGGTCATGCTCCTGGTCGATCCTGCTTGTCGTCTCTTTCCTCTTTTCACCCGCTTCTCAACAGCAAATGTGACCCTGGATCCAATCACTGCTCATCCCCAGCTCATCCTGTCCAAGGACTGTAAAAGCATCAGCTGGGGAGTCAGCTGCCAAGATTTGCCCAAGAATCCGGAGAGGTTCGACGTCCGTCCTTTTGTGCTGGGCCGCGAGGGATTCGCAGCAGGGAGACACTTCTGGGAAGTCACGGTGGGGAGGGAGGGAATATGGGCCGTGGGGGTAGCTCGGAAGTCTGTGAGGCGGAAAGGCCCCGTGGAATTTGCTCCAGACGAAGGGATCTGGGCCGTGGGGAGGTGGAATGGTCAGTACCGGAGTATTGATCCTCCTCTCGATCCTCTTCTCCCCTTGAGCGGCGACCTCAGGCGGATTAGAGTCAATCTGAACTGTGCTGAGAGTCAGGTGTGCTTTTTCAATGCTGACACAGGAGATCACCTCTACACCTTTCCGGTGGGCTCATCCTTTGGGGAGGCCCTGCACCCCTACTTCTATGTGATCAAAAATGCGCAGCTCAGAATCTGCCCGTAAGGCAGCTAAGCCACCCTCAGAAAGCTTTTCCTCATGAGGCGTTGTATTTTATTCATTTTATTTAAGGTTTTTGTATGTCATCCCAATGACTAAAAAAGTCTCTGGATGGCTTACAGAGCACAAACCAAAAAAAATAAACAGAACCCATAGCGACGACAACATAAATGGGAAGGGAGGGAGGGAGGGAGGGAGGGAGGACGGAAGGACGGAAGGACGGAAGGAAGGAAGGAAGGAAGGAAGGAAGGAAGGAAGGGTATACTCCGTCTAAAATAGTAATAAAAAGAATAAAACCAGATTAATTATTAAAATACTGGGAAAATAAAAAGGTCGTCTTCGCCTGGCATCGAAAGGAATAGAGCGCCAGTACCAGGCAAACCTCCCTGAGGAGCGAATTCCACAGTCGGGGCGCCACCACTGAAAAGGCCCTTCTCCGAGTGACTGCCCTCCTGATTTCCTTCAGAGGGTTCCCGGAGAAGGGCCTCTGCCTCTGATCTCAAGGGGCAGGCTGGCACATAGGGAAGAAGGCTCCTTCAGCCAGGTGTCCAGGACCCAAGCTGTTAGGTTGAAATTTTTTATTTAAATAAAAACATACTACAAAGCTAACATACTACAAACAGGACCCAAGCTGTTAGGGCCTTATAGGTTATTACCAACACCTTAAATTGGGTCTGGATTTCAATTGGCAGCCAGTATAAGCGATATAGGACCAGCATGATATGGGAATTGTATGCTCACAACTCCTCCCTCCTGGTTGTTTTTAGGTGCTTTACACAAGATTGTCACCCTCCGGGGCTTCCCCTGTGCTTTCCAACCATTTCCGTGGATTTTAGATTGAGAAAATGTGGTATTATTCAGCAGTCGCTCTAGGAGACCCTGGGGTTTTAGCACAAGTCTACTATAGCACAGTGCCACCTTGTGGTTGTATGATGGAACATACAGAAAGGCCAAAAAAAAAAAAAAAACCCTCAGGGAAGGAAAAAACACCCGAAAAGAGCCAATCTTAATCATGTAAAGAATCTGGAAATGGAAGTCTCAGTAAAGTGGTGGGTGAAAAGCCTCCTTTTAGGGAAGTCTGGGGGTGCTTCCCAGTGGAGGGCTCCTGGCACTAATGGTTACAATGCACTGGGCAGCCATTTCATCTTTTTTTCCCCTTGTTGGCTTTTCCCCAAGGGAAAAACAGATGGAAAAAATGGAAGGGAAGTAGAAGATGTTATCTAGATCCGCACTGAATAAAATCTGGATGGTTATGTATGAATCCAGTGGCTCTCTTCCTCTGCCACCTTTTCCAGTCATAGTCACTACGAGCTTGTCTACACAAGGCTGTTAATGGCTGCTGATCCCCTGTATCTACTTTCAGTTTTGTCACAAATCTGAGATACGAGCACTACACGAGGAACATTTCCTTTCCTGCTTTTCCACTACATAACCTCTAAGGGCTGCTTCCATGTAGCCTGAAGGGCCTGGTCACGCCTCATCTTGGAAGCTAAGCAGGGTCGGGCCTGGTTGGAATCTGGATGGGGGACTTCAGTGTTGTGAACCACCCAGAGAGCTTCGGCTATGGGTGGTATAGAAATATATATAATTAAATATAATTAATTAATTAATTAAGTGGCACTAAAGGAAAGCAGAATGGGGCAGATAAACAAGAGGAAATTCTACTTTCCTTTGGTTTCACAATTAAATGCCAGGTTTTTCCTTCTCTAAAAGAAAACGCTTGCCAAACGCCATGGGTTAGATGCAGAAGCGAATTTGGAAGGCCACTGTATTGTCAGTATTGTTTAAAGCAGTGGTTTTCATCTGCCGGGCCACAAACTGGGACCGGTCTCCCAAAAATTTCCTGCCGGTTCGTGAAACAGCTGCATCCTGCTCATGGCAGGCCAGGGAGGGAAGGGAGAGCTCAGCCGGAGCCAGCTGGGAGCCAGGTCTTTTCCTGCTGTGTTGTGGTAGGGGAAATGTTGGAGCAGGGTCGTGTTGAGTGTGTTACCTTAGCCAATCTGTGCTGGTGTGTCTGGGGGTTTGAGTGGGTGAGGTTAGTTGTTTTTCGTTATTTGACACTATAAATATGATTTTATTAAGTAACTTTCTTTGATTTTGTGTTGCTCTGCTGTTGATACTGTATTTGAATTTGTATTTGCTCTGAGTATCGTAGAGGTGTTTGTATTGATTTTTCATTTTGCTATTGTAAAATTTTGATCACGTATTCTTGAAAAGAAGCATCAACAGATTTCACACTAGCTGTATTTGAACTAAATTTTGCTCTAAAAATTTCAGTTGTATTTGATTACATTTAATTTCAATATTTTATTCTTTTATTTGCATTTTTACTGCTTGGGTTCTGGTTATTTTAGAGAATTTTCATTTTTGGTGTGATTTTTAAAAACCAATACACAAAATACTATATAATGTATATAATGCTTTTGCTCTGCCTCAGTGGCCCCCAAAATAATTTTCCTGTTTTTGCCAGTCCCCAACTGTAAAAAGGTGGAAAAGCACTGGCCTAAAGCCCATCTCTTCCAGCATCATATTCACACAACCAGCTATCCTGAGGGACCCCTCAAACAAGACACAAGTGCAACCGCATCCAGAGTCAAGCATGTCCGAGTTGTTCCCTCCACCCTACCAGGTTTCATACTCCTGTTCAGCAGACAGGAAGAGAAAGCAAGCCAAAAAGTCACAGAGTAGTGACTGAGCAAGCCTACAAGCTAGGGAAGGGGGGAAAGGCAAAGTAAAAAGAAAAGGGGAGAGAAATCATGATGCTTCAACTTGATCCAGATGTTTCCCAGTAGGCTATCCCCCAGAATTCAATTTAAAACAGCTCTACCACCCTTTTTCTGACAAGCTGCAGTAGTCTGATTCCATTCTGGTTCAAGGACCGCCTATCACTCTTGCAAAGATCTGGCTTGTTCCAAAACATTTCCCAGTTCCTGACATATCTGAGTCTCTTCTACAGCACCATCTCCTTCACACACTAAGATTTCTAAGCTTCATTTACCTAAGCAGCTGTGTAGGTGGAGCTGGAAGCATTTCGTAGAGAAGCACCTTCAGAGTCCTTCTGGTTGACAATCACTGCTTCCACCCCAGCACCCTCTACAAAGCCATCTAGATGGTGCAGGATATTTGCGCCCCTTGCACCAAATTTATCATGTATCCTTCACAAATCCAGCTGTGTATCGGATTGACTCTTCCAGGATGCAAGTCCCGGCTCCCAAGGAACACCTTCAGCATGGCGGGACATTTGCATTCACCTTTTGCGGAATGGGTCCCTTCTAAGGCATCATTTCCCCCCGAGAACCCTGCTGGCTAAGACAACAAGGGAACTCTCGGCTTGGAACTGGGCACCACTACTAGGCCCCAGAAGTTCTTGTCCATATCTCAGCTTCTGCAGGTCAACAAGGTCTTTCAGCAAAGAAGGGAACAAATTTGCTCTTTCTGAGCCTGGAGCATGTTACCCCAAGAACCAGGAGCGTGTGGCACCAAGGAGAACCAGGAGCGGGTTGCGCCAAGGAGACAGGCACTAACTTCTGTCCAGCCATCACAGAGTCATCCCTGTGGCATTCAGTGCTCCCACACCCCTGTTGGCCTTCCACCCAGCCTATTATATTACTATCAATGGAGTTGTTATTGGGTTTATTCTGGAAAATGAAGTACCTTATTGGAGAAGGTGGGGAATTCCTTTAATGTTACTTACTAGTAGAAGACAGAGAAGAATGGATGGACCTGGCCTGCTTACCCTGTTGCTCGACTTTCATGGGTGCTGACGCATGGGGAGGCCTTTTTCCTGGGGCTTTGAGACGTCATCCTTTAGCACTCAAGAATCTCTACAGAGCTGGGCTGCAAGATCTCTTAGGTTCCTACAGGATTTCCCCTTCTGGGATTTCGCTCCCAGCTGAACTTACATAAAGGAGCACATTTCTCATATTTAGTGCTTTTGTTCTGCTTTTCTTTTGACTTCACTTGGTAACTTGGGAGTTGAAATGAGTTCTGAAGGATTGCTCGAGGTCATTTAATAACAGCACGAGTAAATGGCACTTACATAACATGAGTAAACAGCACTAACCTTTAACTCACTTCTGTTCTGAAGTTTCATTGCTGGTGTAGAGATGCTTCATCACTGGGACAAAACCTTAGCAATTTTGAAAAGTCCTAAAACCAAGATTTTCTCCAGGCCCTGGATATCTGCTCATCCACACATTTCTTAGGGAGTCTGGTGTTACTCCTTTGATCCAATTAATACCAGTAGTAGAACAGATTAAAATGGATCAGTTTGACATTTGCTTGTGTTCAAAATTTGCTTCTATGTGAACTGGTGTGGATCTTGACACACTTAAAACTGAGCCTAAGAAGCTATTTTGGACCCTTTCAGTTGTGTTGTTATCAGCAAAGCCCCAGATTTCTGCTGCAGAAGCCAGAACTGGCCACACAGGTGTCTTCTGCAGTATCATAATTGTTTGACATGAGCCAGAATCCCTGTAACTTAAGGGTCTGTTCAGAGTTTGGACACAACATTCAACTTTTTATTTTAGCTTGTTCCCATAGATAAAAGAGAATGTATGTATGTATATATGTATTACATTTTTATACTCCCCTGTAGCCCACAGGCTCTCTGGATGGTATACAATCTAAAATAATATATACAATAAAAGTTATATTAAAAGAGAATAAAATCAGAAACAGACAACAATAGCGAAACAAGGACATTGCAGCTACAATAAGTTAAACTCTTGGTACAACAACAAACAATAAAACCCAGGAATTAAAATAGTTCTGTGCGGATCAAAAGTTAAAATGGCTGGAGAATAAAAAGTTTTTCACCTGGTGCTGAAAGGATAACAAAGATGCCTCAGGTGCACCTCTCTGGTAGGGTGCCACTCTAGAAAAGACCCTTCTCCTAACTCACCTCCCTCACTCCTTCAGGAAGTGGTTCGCTGAGAAGGACTAATTTAGCAGACAGTAATGAAGAATGGGTAGGAACTTATGTTCAGATAACCTGCCCTCAAGCCATTTAGGGCTTTAGATGTTGTAACAAGCATTCTGAACTGGGCCTGGACTTCAACTGGCAGCCAGTGCAACTGATGGAGGACTGGAGTGATGTGATCCAGAGGGCCAGTCCCTGTCAATAGCCGTGCTGCCCTATTCTGAATTCGCTGAAGTTTCCAGACTGTTTTCAAAGGCAGCCCCACATAGAGCATGTTACAATAGCACAAGTGTGAGGTTACCAGAGCATGGATAACTGTGCCTCTCCAGATAGGAAAGCAGTTGGTAAATCAGCCCAAGCTGATAAAAGCTGCTCCTATGCACCAAGTCCACCTGTGACTCTAGTGACAGTTCTGTGTCAAGGAGCACCTCCAAACTACGAACCTCGTCCTTTAGGGGGAGTGCAATCCTGTCCAGGACAAGCTGACAGTCTCCCAACTGGACAATGCACCCACCAACAGCACCCCCATCTTGTTCGGATTGAGTCTCGGCTTACTGGCCCTCATCCGGTCCATTACAGAGCTCAGGCACTGCTCAGAATGGGCACTGCCTCACCTGGGTTGGATGAAAAAGAGGCAGAGCTGAGCATCATCTGTGCATTGGTGACACCTGAACCCATACCTCCAGGTGACCTCTCCCAGTGGTTTCATGCAGATGTTGAAAAGCATTTGCAGTGCATTTTACTGTCAAATGTTAGCAGGCCTTCCCTTTCTGAAGTCTGTCTGTTCTTTCAGTAAGATGGAATTTTGTTCAGTCCGGTCCTCTTCATTTCTGGAGAAGCTAGATGTACATTTTTGCTGGGATAGCAGTTCAGACAATTGGCCTATAATTTCTAGGATCCACTCAATATCCCTTCTTAAATAGTGGGACTACTATACTAAGTTTCCATCATTTCGGAATACATCTGAATAGCATACGGGAGTGAACAAGCAAGGCAGCTCCCCAGTCTACGTTAAAGCCCTTTCCTGGAGCTTTATGCTTCTTCAGTGACTGCGTAAAAAGCTTATTTCCTGGTGGCCACTTGCAGAGGTCACTGATAGTCGTGAGAATTGCTTCCACGTGCCATCATCTTCTAATATTTGAATCTTCCTTGAATAAATAAAGAAATCTTCCCAGACTGAAGCAGATATAGGTACCTCACAGGTTTACTGTGATTCTCTTAGAGAGGGAGAGAAATCTGGGGGAAAGAGGGAGAAAATTTGCCACTAACTTCCTCTGCTTTGTGACTGAAGGCATGTGGGAAAGTGCTTTGTAGAAGAGGAAAAGATGGCCTGGACTAAGGCTGTCTTAATTTTGAAATTGATCTTCCTGGCCTGGAGCGGTTGACCTGTGAGGAATTCACATTGCTGCTTTACGGAGAAATCCTGAGGTAGCCTTTTTTGCAAATATAAAAAAAGGGCAAAAGGGTTTCTCCAGAAAACGAGACCCCAGAGAAGGTGTGGATGAGGGTACCTTGGTCAGCATCATAAAAGGCCACCTGCCCCCCATCACAGCTCAGACACACCTGGATCCTCTTCAGCTCCCCACTCACGGACAGAGAATAGGAATTAGGGGCGTGCGCCGCCCAGTACGTGCCTTTCAAATAACGGCCAGGTCGCCAAGCCAACGGTGCCCCTGCATAGTACCGGACAGCCCAGATTCCTTGTTCAGGGCATAGTTCCACCCGGCCCTTTCTCCTCATGGACTTCCGGGCGACCCCCACAGCCCAGTCTCCCCCACTTCCCACATGGACTTCCCAGAAATGTTTTCCTTCTGCAAATCCCTCCTGTCCCAGCACAAACTGCTGTTTGTCGAATCTCTCCTGATTGTTGGGCAGCTTTTGTGGCCTCTCTTCTATCCTCACGATTTTCCGATCTTCAGACAGGACGAGTTTGGGATGAGCCGTGTGTGGATTCAGGGTCACATTGGCAGCTGAGGATGGAGAACAAGGGGCGGGGGGAAGAAAGGGGAAGATGAGCAGAATCCCCTGGGACAGTGACAGATATCAGAAGCGTAAACACCCCACAGGAATGTGGAGTATGCAATCAGTGAATATGGAAGCAGCATAAATAATTGAGGTGCTCAAAGGAGAATCAGCAGCACAGATGCCGAAACCATTTCCCCAGACCTCTCCTCATTTCCCCCCTCTTTCTTTCTTGCCCACCCGGAAGGACCAAAGTCACTCCCATCTTCATGAGGCGAGACTGAGGGAACTGGGTCTCTTCAGCCTGGAGAAGAGGAGACTCCAAAGGATCTGTTGGCGACATACAGGTATGTGAGCGGGTGTCACATAGAGATGGGTAGAGACCTGCTCTCCCCTGCAGAGGAAGGCAAGACGCACTCCAACGGAGTGAAGCTCAGGGAACCCAGGTTCAATTCACATGCCAGGAAGCACTTCCTGACAGGACCCCAAGGTGTGGAATTGGTTTCCACAAGAGGTCATTGAGGCCCCATCGGTGAGGGTGTTCAAACATAGGCTGGACATGCACATGGTGGGCATGTCATGAGCGGAGCCAACTGGAGCCAGGGGTCAGACTAGATGGCCCGGGAGGCCCCTTCTGACTCACTCAGTTTCTATGTTTCTATGTATCTTCCTGATAAGCCACGCACACTTTTGGCTGTCCTCCTTCTGACACTCCATCATATTCACTGCTTGCTCTTGATTTATTCAGATCGCCCAGATCTTTCTACTCCTGTCCTTCAATCCATTTATAGGAAGAAACATAAAAAAAACCCCTGTCCCAAAATGGACCTTTGGGTGTTGCCCCCCAATTGGGCCTTTATTGCATCATCCTCCTGCCTCATTTGAGGACTTGTTTTGTGGGGGGGGGGTCATCCAAATGACACCATCTCCTACTCATAAGCTTCTAGTGTTTCCCCAAATTTTCTACTGTCTTTGTTCTTGATGCTGAAAATCTGTTCCAGCAAAACCAATGGAATGGCCTCAGGGCTCCTTCTCATCGGCACCTCTGGGAGCCCTCACTTGGAAGGCTCCATCTCCTTGGGAAGGGAGTGGAGAAGGGGGCAGGTGAGGAGATGCTTCCCTTGATGCCTGTTGTGGGGATTGGCCAGGTGGGGCTTCCAGGGGAAGGAAGAGGTCTCCATTCCGGTGAGCACAGAGAAGTCGGCTGGCCGTGCTTTTGCTCTTGGCAGACGATAAGAGGATTGGCAATAAATATCTCTGGAGCAAATACTAACAACCCATCATGCTGCAGGGGTGTTGCCCCCGCTTCCTTCACAAACAAGGGACCCTGCTCCTCTTCTGCTATAGGGACAGCCCTTGCTCAAGGGTTTGGGAATTCAGGGTGAATTGCCTCATTTCCCGGCTGGAACCAAACTGAGGTCAGAACATGGAGACATTATCATTCTGTGATTACTGGGGATGGGTGGGGAACATGCGGCCCTTCAGACGCTTTTGTACTGCATGTACCATCAGTCCTTGGCAACTTAGCCAATGGTGAGGGACGATGGAAGCTGTAGTCCAAAAGCACCTGGAAAGAGATAATTCAGATAACATTGTCATGAATCTAAATCACAGGAAAGAGGCCAAATTAGACATTAGGAATGCAATGATGGGGGACAGAAACAGCCACCCCAATTTCCTACTTAATTAGCAGGTGCCAAATTGAGGGTGGCTTTTTCCATGCTGTTCTGGGGTTGTCATTTAACACGCACACATATGCCAGTTTTGGAGCAGGGGAGGTGGCGTAAAAGAAGAATAAAAGTAAAAAGCTCCCTCCTACAGACCATTTACCTTTTGTGTCTATCTGAGGGGTTTGACGTGCCACACACCCTGCAAAATCAGGGAAGCTGCCTTGATGAGACCAGCCCAAGAAACAGGTTTTCCTGCCTCACCTATATTGGAAACTTCAGATATGGCTTTCTGCAAAGCATCATACCATTGCATGCCGTCATGATCTGCAGGTCAAAAGCACGTGAAAATCTCTTTCACAGAGATAAGAGATGATGTGGCCAACATCCTGTTTCTGGGCAAGGTGTTGGAGCGGGTGGTGGCAGGACAAATCCAAGCACTCTTGGAGGAAACTGATTATCTGGATCCTTTTCAGTCCGGCTTCAGACCCGTTTATGGTACTGAATCTGCCTTGGTCACCCTGTACGATGACCTGTGCAGGGAGAAGGACAGGGGGAGTGCGTCCCTGTTGGTTCTTCTGGACCTCTCAGCGGCTTTCGATACCATTGACCATGGTATCCTTCTGGATAGGCTAGCGGGATTGGGAGTTGGAGGCACTGCTTTGCGGTGGTTCTGCTCCTATTTCAATGGCCGTTTCCAGAAGGTGGTGCTGGGGGACTATGGCTCTGCGCCATGGCACTTATGCCATGGAGTACCGCAGGGATCCATTTTGTCCCCCTTGCTATTCAACATCTACATGAAACTGCTGGGAGAGGTCATCAGGAGGTGTGGGCTGTGGAATCATCAGTACGCTGATGATACCCAGCTCTACCTCTCGTTTTCCACCAATCCAGGTGAGACAGTGGCTGTGCTGAACCGGTGCCTGGCCGAGGTAATGGGCTGGATGAGGGCCAATAAACTGAAGCTCAATCCAGACAAGATGGAGGTCCTGTTGGTTGGCAGATCGGGCTTCAGGGAAGGGAACCTGAACCTAGTCCTGAATGGGGTTGCACTCCCTCTTAGGGACAAGGTCCGCAGCTTGGGAGTGCTCCTCAACCCAGAGCTTTCACTGGAAGCTCAGGTGACAGCGGTGGCGAGGAGCGCTTTCTTTCAGCTTTGGCTAATCCATCAGCTGTGTCCCTACCTGGAGGACGACTGCCTGGCAACGGTGACACACGCGTTGGTGACTTCCCGACTTGACTTCTGTAATGCGCTCTATGTGGGACTGCCCTTGAAGATAGTCCGGATACTTCAATTGGTTCAAAATAGAGCTGCTAGGCTGCTGATGGGGACTGAGCATTATGTTCACATGACTCCAGTTCTCCGTCAGCTTCACTGGCTCCCCATTGAAGTCCGGGCCAAATTCAAGATGTTGGTGATGACCTATAAAGCCCTTAATGGCTTGGGTCCTGGTTACCTGAAGGAGCGCTTACGTCCATATATGCCTGCCCGCCCCTTGAGATCAGCGGGAGAGGCTCTTCTCTGGGAACCCTCCGTGAAAGAAATTAGGAGGGTAGGTACTCAGAGGAGGGCTTTCTCTGTGGTGGCGCCCAATCTATGGAATGCACTGCCCAGAGAGGTTCGCCTGGCACCGTCGTTATTTCTTTTTTGGCGCCAGGTGAAGACCTTTTTATTCAAACGCTATTTTAATTGTTAATATTATTTATTTATTTTATTTTTCGGGCCAGGTCAACTCATGTTATATTATTTTATACTGTTCTTATTTATTAAATATTGTGAGCCGCCCCGAGGCTTCTGCGAATGGGGCGGCATAGAAGCCTTCTAAATAAATAAATAATAAATATTTTCTGTCCCCACAGAACTGAAATCTGAGCTCTGCGCAGCTTTTCTTTTCTGACTTTTCCACTACATAACCTCTAGGTGGAGCTTTGCCATAGTGCAAATACACAAGGAGAAACAGTGCCGTTTTCCTGTTCTGAAATTAACACACATCCCCTTTTCCCCAGTCTAAAAAACAAAACAAAACCAAATCTGGGAAAATGCTCTAAAAAACCAGAAGGGAAACCAGAGGACCACATTTTCTTAAGACGCTGCAAATGACTGTGAAAAAGGGATCACGAGAATATAGACAGGAACGGAGAACCTTCCGCGATAGCCTTCAAGTTGCATTCAAATTCTGCACATAGAACCAACGTCTGGTTCAGTCAAGGCTCTTTTACCCCTTCAAATGTACAGAAGTGCAGGGGTGGAGTGATTCAGAGCTCCGCTTTTTGTGGGTTCCTGAGCCCCACTGACTTAAGTCACTTTTATACAAGGATACAGCCTGCAAAGTTTATTTGGATGCACCAAAAGCCCACGGGGGAAGCATCCAGTGACATCACTCATGGTCTCTTCCGTCAGTGCACGCAGAAGCGCTCAGACATCAATACTGGGGCAGCTGGTTACTCATAGCCAAAACATTTATGGTTATGAAGTGTGCAGAATGGAACTGTTTCACCATAAGGAAGTACCCCAAGAGAAACATCTGGCCAGGTCACATCCCTCCAATGAAGCTGGCCCTCACTGGAAATGTACCTTTTGGTAGCTGTAGTCGAGGTGGCAGGGCATCTGGGAAGAAGAAATGCACAAAATTAAGCAGTCCGCCATTGTGCTAATACTGAACCTTACTTGCTAGAATACCAGTTTATAACATTAGTTGACTTGGTCTGAATTGGAGTCTTTCCGTCTAAGACTAGATTTTCCACTTCAGTCAGTTTTGGAGTTGTATTGTCTTGATCCTTATGGAGAGCACTGGGCTCATGACATATTAAAATGGATATTACTACTCAGAGTCCACTAGAGAGGTGTAGAGAATGCTACTGAGTCAATTATATTTTGATCCATTTTTGCATCCGAGATGGACTTGATGATGCAATCCAGACCTAAAAATCAGTCAGAAAATGTTTTATTTATTTATGTATTTATTAAATTTCTACTCTGCCCCTTAGCCAGAATGACTTTGTTGATTTTTATTTTGGACCAAGTAGTGGGGGTTGTTAATGAATTTTCTGATTTTCAGATCTGCATGCCAAATACAATTTAGCCATACTTGCAATTGCAAAGCTTGTTAGAATCTCGGTCTGGTCCTGCAGCTTTTACAGCCTCAGTGTCTCTTCTGCTCTTGGAAAGACTTATTTCGGTAATCAGTCATATTGACTTACACGCCATTGTTTTATTAGTGGATAAGTAGGACTCAGAAGGACTTAAGCAGAAATGCAACAGAGATCTGAATTTATTCTACCTAATCCATGGATTGTTATTTTAGCATTTCTATCTGAAGCGTCAGTGGATCTCAGCTTAGGTTTTATTCAGCAAAACACTCTTCTTCCACGTCTTCCGGGTGCCACCATTTCTCCTATTAAGGGTTTGCCTAAGTCATCTTGCTGCTGGGGATACAAGACTGCTGTTCGTTTATTGCTCTGCCATCCAATAGCCAAAGCTCTCTGGGCAGTTCAGAACTCATAACACATGTTCAGTAGTAGAACGGATAATAATAAAATGCTAATGCAATTTTTAAAGGAATAAAATAAACACAGTGTTAATTATGATCTAGCAAATGTGAAACAATTACAACAATTTCTGTACAAATGAGGCCTGTTGAAATAGACGGCATGTCCCATCCTATGCTGGTAAATGTCTGGGAATAGAGGGCAGTCTTAACCTGATTCCACACGACAATGTCGGAGCCAAGTGGGGCTCTGTGGGAGAGCATTGCATAATTACGGGACCATCAACGAGAAGGTTCTCCTCCTTGTTCCCTGCCTCAGAGGTGGGTGTCGGAGGGAAGCCGCCGATGTTGGTTGTAGCGTTCTGGGAGTTTGCAGAGGGGCAAGGATGGTGTGCGTGAAACCTCCTCCCTCAGGGTCACCTCTAGAAGAAGGATCCCCTCCAGCTCTCTCTCGAGGTGCTGCAGGGGTTCCCCCGGGCCTGCTAGGGATGGCATCATGACCTGGTCCAAGGTGGCTGTGCAACCTTTGTTCCATGAGCATCTGCAGGCTTCCGCTCAGCCTGGCTCATTTTCCGCTCAGCACACACACACACTCACTCACACAGGTTGTCAAATCGGAAATTCTGCAATTACCTCTATTGTATCCACAGCTAAATTCAATAAAATAGATTAAATCAAATCAAGACCTGCCAGAATTACTCCCAAACAGAGATCTGATGCCCTCTGTAAAATCCACACAGCCATGCTTCAGTACCTTTGAATTGCTTGATGGCTCCCTCCACAAAGTAATTTATATCGCAGAAGTCAGAGATCCTGAACTTCAGCTGTAGAGGGACAGCCACTGAATTCTCCAAGGTCTTTTTACTCCTGTTGGAGATAAACAAAGGTGACTTTCCACCCTTTCAAAACTGTATTGGCAAAAAGAGCAGGTGAAAACCGCAAAAGGCTTAGAACAGGAGCAGGCAATGTTTCGCGAGGGCAAGACCAAATTGAACCCTTCAGCAACCACACAAGTGGGGTGGCTTGGAGCGAATAGGGTAGTTCAGGTGCTGTGTTTGTGCTTAGTTATAGTTAGTGATGTGTGCTTTGCGGGCAAAGAAGATTCTTCAACTGTGTGTATTGGATGGCATGAAGAACAGAGGTGGGACATTTTCAGAAGCAGGTCAGCCTCCCTCCCTCCCTCCCTCCCTCCGAGATGTGAGAGACCTAGCTCTGTTTTCTGCTCAGCAGCCGGGGGGACCACATTTCTTCCCTGCCATCCAGACCCTTCTCCGCACAAGTGGAAAGCAAAGGGATCCGCTTACCGTTGCAAAGTGCCTTTCGGATCCTGTGGAGGGAAAGCAAGAGAAAGAGGGTGCTCAGGGCCTGGGGCACATCGCTCTGTGGAGATGCTCTCCGGCCACCGCATGCTCAATGGGTGACGGTGCCGCCCCAAATCCTCCACCCCAGGACCGAGGAAAAGGGATCTCGTCCCCTGGAATGGGGCAGAAGAGGACTTGCCTAGGTTCTAGAATTGCACCAGAGGGAAGGGCTGATGTGCCCTTCAAAGGACAAGCCTTTGGCGTGCAGGAAGGCTGTGCTTAGAATGAAAGGGAGTGAGGCAGGTGAGGTGTGCCTGGCCCAGAGAGCACATGCTGGCAGGGGAGACAGGGAGCTCCTCCCGTGGCAGGGCCCACGGGGCACTCCTGCCTGGTCTCCATCCTCTGCCCCGCTCCCACTCTGTCCCCAGCAATCCAGGGAGCTCCCCACGAGCCGTCGCCCCCTCCCGGCAGCCTGCCACTGGAGTTTCCTGGGCAGGGGTCCAGGGGGGCGTCCTTGGGAAAGAGTCTCCGGCAAGGAGGACGGCCTCCATTCTTGGCACCTTGGCCTGCCCTCCCATGCACTGAGCTGCTGGGCGAGGAGGGCAGCGGCACGCGTGAGTCCTGTGCCCGGGGTGGGGGGGGCAGCCGGGCACACATGAAGTGAGGGAGGAGGTGCTGGCTGGCTGTGGTCATGCCTAGGGGGTATGTTTGATACGTCCCTTTCATTCTAAGCACAGCCCTCCCGCCCATATTTGCCCTCCCGCCCCTTGAGATCGGCAGCAGAGGCTCTCCTCTGGGAGCCTTCCATGAGATATTATTATTATTATTATTATTATTATTATTATATTATTATTATAACATTTCTATGCCGCCCCTTGCCGAAGCCTCGGGGCGGCTTACAACACAATAAAATACATTGAAATACAATAGAACATCAGGAGGCAAAGTACCCGGAGGAGGGCCTTCTCTGCAGTGGCGCCCCACTTATGGAACACGCTCCCCAGAGAGGTCCGCCTGGCGCCATCGTTATTTGTTTTTCGGCGCCAGGCCAAGTCCTTTTTATTCAAACAATATTTTAATAATGTTTAATATTTATAGGTTTTAACGGTGCAGCCAGTGTGTTTCCGGGTTTTAATTGTAATTGTTATTTGTTTTGTATTTCTTTATTTCTGTGATCCATCCTGAGGCTATATAGTAAGGGGACGGCATATAAAAACTTTGATGAATGAATGAATGAATGAATGAATGAATGAATGAATAGGGGAGCCTGTGGGGCAGTGCAGGAGAGGTGGGTGGGGCAGGCAGGAGTGGTACAAGCTGGGATGGATTTCCAGCCACAGGGGCAGATGGGCCACATGCCACAATCTGGAGGGAAGAGTGGGGCCTGTGGAAACGACTTGTGAGCAGTCACCACGCAAACGGGGGAAGACAGGTGAGACGCCATGTCACGGTGGTAACTCCATAACGGTACCATTTACCGTTATGCGTGAACACGGCCACTGTCGTACCTTCAGGAGTTCACTCTCTGGCTGCCTACTCTTCTTTTCCATGTCCTTGATGATCTGCTCAAGAGAGGAGAGTTCTCCGGAGAGCGTGGCCAGGTACGCCTCCCTTTCCCTTCTAATCCTCTTCTCCACCTCTTCCACCTGGGCCAGCCAAAACTTCTCTTGTTCTTCCAAAAAGTGCCGCACTTTTCTCAACTGATCCACTGTTTTTTCCGATTCTGCTTTTATTTGCCTCTGCAAAATGTTCAGGAGAGAACAGTGTGTGGAAAAGGGAGAAACAGTCCCCAAACGTCAGCAACGGGGCCCCTCTTCCGAAATGTACTCAAGGACAAGCATGGCCTTCCACGAACATTTGCTATAATGGGTGAAGTAGTTCCAATTAGAACAAGAATACATACTCTGCCTCTACATTTTCCATTACTTTCTCACTCGTATCGGTTGAAGAACTTGTTCACTTCAAAATACTCTGGATACTTACGAGCAACTCCTGGCTTTCCCGTTTTGCCTCTGCTTTATGTTCTTTAACTTTTCTTTTCTCCTTCTTGAGACTCTCCAGCTGACAATGCAGCAGATCCTGAAGAGGGGAAAAACAGTCATATTTGGTTCACTGAGAAAGCAGAAAACAGGAGTTGAACAAGTTGGCTGTTCCCAGATGTGCGCTTCACTCTTGCAGCCTGCAAGTCACCACTTCTGAAGCCCACTTTTGATGCTTGCTGAGATGGGGTGGAAGCCAGGCCAGTGCACCTCACCACATCTCCACGCCTCGTTTCCATGTAATTGCTTTTAGTGGAATTGCCTTCCACTGGCCCAGGCAAACACGTTCCTTCCATAGAACCCAAGGCCTTCCCAAGCACCGGAAGAACAGAGGGGATGGTTCCCCACGGCTCCTGCTAAGGACCCAGAACCAGACGGCAGGTGATCGGGACAGCTTTCGCCACGGCTTTCAACACGCCACCTCTTGCGGAAAACCTGCTTTCTACGCCCTGCTTCTGTGGGACACACCTGGCTGGCCAGCGTTAAGCCTGGCAGGCTGGTCGTGTCCCAAGCACTGTCAAAGTAAACTGGAGTATCACACACAAGCTGGGGTGGAGCGATCTCCCAGCGAAGCTCCCAGCCCATCCTCCAGGTAGCCCAGCCTCCCAGGCGAGCGCAGGAGTCGCCTGCATTTGAATGTGCCCGTCAGTGCTTGTGGTGGGAATTTCAATCCAGCGGGCAACTGTCATCGCGACCTGGGCAGCAGAGGTATGAAAGGGGACTTTCTGGTGAATTACCGTTTTGCCGTGATCAAACTTCCTTCCTGAGAATAAAATACATTCTTGTTGTGCATAAATGGGCGAACTGCGCCTGGCCTGGACCCCTTGTGTCCAGTGCTTCTCCATGACAGAGCTCCCCTTTGTCCCAATATTTTCAAATGGGTCATTAAAGAGATTGTGCAGACTAACCATGAAGGGGTGAAGACGACGCATTAAATGGAAGCTGGTGGATCCTGTCCTGCAGCTCTGAGGGCTTGGAAGCTTCAGGCCCTCCCTCCCCTAAGTAAGCTGCCTCCCCACCATGCAGTCCACAAACAGGTTTAGTCTTTTCAGGTCTTCCCGAGAACTCAAGCATACGAGCTTGAGGGCCCCCATGAAGTGCTTGGGCACATGGGAACTGGAGCTCAGGGGCTCACAGTGGCGGGACTCTGTGGCCTCGCCCCAGGAGACAGTGTGGTGCAGATGGAGGACATGCCCAGGGGATACCTGGCGCACTCCTAGTCGAGTCCTGGCATGTGCTCACAGTCGAATATATTTGGAGGCAGTGAGAGCAGCAAAGAAGCAATATCTGACAACTCCCATTCAACCTTCTCCTTGCTACCCAGTGGCACTCTCTGGGATTGTCCAGGGCCTATTAGATCCTGGCCTGAAGGACATCTTGGGGCCATCGCAAGCCTGCTGGAATGTGTTCGCAAGGTACTTCCAGGGCAACATCTTTTGCATCTGTCAGGGCTTGGACTCAAAATGTTCTAGCGACAGAATCAGGTGAGATTTGCAGAGCACAGTTTGGTCTAGTTGTTAAACTCATGTGAGTTGCATTCCCTTTGAAGAAGCAGTTTCGTTGCTTGTGCTATCTTTATCACTTGAGGCTCAGGTAGCTTCAGTGGCTCAGAGCAGCTTCTACTAGCTTTGGATGGTAGCTCAGCTATGTCCCTATCTGGACAGAGATAGCCTGCTATCAGTGATCTATGCTCTGGTAATCTCTAAGCTAGGCTACTGCAAGGCAATCTATGTGGGGCTTCCCTTGAAGACAGTTTGGAAGATGCAGCTTGTGGGAAATGCGACGGTCAGACTAATAACAAGGATCAGCTGGTCAGATTGTATCACACCAATTCCGGCTGGCTTGCACTGGCTGCCTACAAGCTTCTGAACCCAATGATTTTAACCTATCAGATCCTCCATGAGACCAGGGCAATGGATGGATTGCCATTCCCAACCACAGTCTACCTAGATACGACATCAGCATCTGAGGCCTTCCTCCAACTGCCACTTCTGAGGTAGGCTGTGCTGGTAGCCGCAAAGGAGAGGGCCTTCTCTGTGTTGACCCCCACATCATGGAATGATTTCCTCACTGAGGTCTACCTAGCACCAACTCTGCTATTTTTTCAGTGCCAGGTTAAGACTGCCTTCTGTGCTGAGCCATTTAACAGAGGTGGGATGTTGCCAGCTGTTTTATGAATCGTAGTTGTTCATGTTGTTTAAAATTCCATTTTAAACCCCTAGTGAAATTTTTAGGATGTTTTCCCTTTTAAAAAAATATAATATTGTATTTTATCAATCATACACTGTTAGGTGAGCTTCAGCTATTGGTTAGTATAAAAATATAATGTTTTATTAAATACTACATATTGCTTTCTATAATGGATTCCACTATAGCACTGCGAGGGAGGGTGTGCTGGGGACAGGCTCCCAGGATGCTTTACCATGGGCCCTGGTTTGGCTCAGCCCTCCCTCCCTCCGGGAAATGCCCAGAGAGCCTTTTGGCTAATGGGACAAGATATACATCAATCAATCAATGCCCTCTTGTACTGCAGAGAATTGATAGGAAGCCAAGCCAATGGGCTATGCTGACCCTGGAGCTCCTCTCCCATGGGATTTCCTGGTGGGGTGGTGCCTTTGGGGGCACTCTCTCGGATGAGCTCCCTCACCCAATCTTCCCCATCCTGCAAGAGTAAGGGGGCAGTCAGCGAGTATGGGGCATCTCTGGAATCCTCTTACCCTGCAGGGGAGGTGGCAAGATGCTGCCAAACAGAGGCCTGGGGGGTTCTCTTCTCTTCACAGAATAGCAGAGTTGGAAGGGGCCATGAAGGCCATCAAGTCCAGCCCCCTGCTGTTGCAGGACACTAGTTTATACCATCCCACTCAGATGTCTGCCCAGTTTCTTTTTGGATGTCTCTACTGTGGGACAGCCCACCAGCTCTCCAGGCAGCTGGTTTCACCCTGTCGTATTGCTCTGAAAGTGAGGAAGCTTTTCCTGATGCCCAGTCTGAATCTGGGTTGTCACAGCTTGAATTGATTCTTCCGTGTGCTACACTCTGGCATCAGCAAGAAGAGATCTTGACCTTCCTCTTTGTGACTGCCTTTGGGGTAGTTAAAGAGGGATATCATGCCTGCCCTCAGTCTTCTCTTCTCAAGACTGAACATGCCCAGTTCCCTCAGTCTCTCCTCACAGGACAGAGTTTCCAAACCCAGCCCTCCACTGGACCCCTTCTAATTTTCCTGCATCTTTCTTAAATTGTGGTGTCCAGAACTGGACACAGTATTCCAGGTGAGGTCTGACTAGTGAGGAGTACAGGGGAACTACTACGTCTCACGATTTGGAAGTGATACTTCTGTTAGTGCTCTTGGTCATGCACAAGCGCACATGATGCGGGGGCGCATACAGGTGTGGTGCAGCAAGAGGTCCGGGCAGAGCTCACAGAAGGTTCTGCAGGTCTGGCAGGAGTTGCCAGGTGGCTCGGGCAATTTCTGAAGCGGCTGCATGTGGGTGGTGGATGCAGATTACCTGCTGGACAAGCCATGAAGTGCTCTTCCAAAGAGCCCTTACGGACGGACGAGTCGTGTTCCTGATGCCATTCTGCTGATGGGGCCTGGAAGCTGTCACACCCTCAGAGATGAGAGAGAGCTGAAAGGACTCAACCCAAACATTCAGCTCAGGGGACCAGGGAGCAATTTGCTGCTGGCACAAGGAGACTGGAACCCCACTGGGGCTCTTCTGCGTAAGGAATTCCTGGCGTGATTCATTGCTCAGGATTCCTTGCTCGGACATTCGTGGCGGGATTCCTTGCTCAGCTTGTGGGACTGCTTTAGAAGTCACTGAGATCCTCCAGTTTCTCTTCTGTTTTTTTCAGAACGCTTCCCTTTCTTAGATCGAGGGAAACAAACAGTTCAGGCACGATGGGGAATTACAGCCGTCTTCTGCCATTCTGCTCGAGCAAAGCTCCAGCTCGAGAGTGTGTGGAGGAAAAGCAGGAAAGGAAGGGCTCTTTGTGCAGAGCTGAGATCTCAATGCATGCAGAAAATCTTCGGTTGTGCGGGTTGCTCTTCAGGCAGAATAAGGGAAGGGCACATACTGCAAAATAACAAGTAACTAAATGCAAGTAATTGAAGGGACTCCAGCACTAAAGCTCCTGACGCTTTCTTACCTTGTATTCCTCAGTAGCCTCTTCCTTGGGAAGCACGGTGTGTGCTTTATGCACTGGGGAGCGCCTGCACTTCCAGCAGACCAGCTTATCATCTTCCTTGCAAAACAGGTCCAGCCTTTCCTTGTGTTTCTCACACAGGTCTGCGTTTTTCTGCTTTTGCTGCAGGAGTTTAATTTTTTCTACGATATTTGCCAGCTGCCAGTTCGGCCGGAAGTTCTCTTTCCAGATGGAGTTTCTGCAATTGGGACAGGTCGGGTCCTCCCCCATCTGTTCCCAGGACGAACAGTAGCCTGTGATGCAGCTGTGACAGAAGTTGTGGCCACAGTCCACAGTCACGGGGACCTTCAGATAATCCAGGCAGATGGAGCATGTAGTATCCTGTTGCACTTCTGTGAATGCAGAAGCTGTGGCCATAGCAGGTGGATTCTGCGTGGCTCTGCTGAAGAGGCAGCTGTAGGAGGAAAGCCATAAGAATTAGCTAGAGGAGGAAAACTGCCTGTTGGATAATCAGACTATCAGAAAATACACCTCTTAAAATCCGTCCTATGAGAGAGCAAGTGTATTTTGCAGTCCCTGTCACCAAGGATCCTTCCACTGAAGCGCCCACTGTCTGGAACGCAATATAAACAAGAAAGATAAACAAAACATTCATTGCATGGAACTTCTCAGGATAAAAGGCGCTTCTGCAGTTCTCTGGTTCTCAATGTTTAAAAGTGGGGTTCATCTTTTGGTTTTGTATCTCTTTGACAAGAGATGACCTTTTTTCAGCATTTAAAACTCTTAAGTTTGGATTCTTTGTCATTTAAGATTGATGTTGTAAACCACTTTTTGGATGTTGATTAAACAGAGGAAGATTCCTGGTTTTGCTGCTGTTTGATTTCTGGGTGGATGTACTACTGGATGTGCTACTGGAAATCCATGTATTTTGCCAGTGTGTTCCATGGGCCGCTTTCACTCTTGTCCTGAGGAAAGGAAGAGGGAATCCAGGATATTCCAGCTGTGAACAATAACCAGGGGGCTGATCTGCATGAATGCAGGCACGGTGGCTGTGCTGCATGGTGCCCACCGTGGCGAATGTCCCAGCCACAGGATTATCATGACTGTCGTGAGCTAGACGAGACAGGCACGCCAGCAATTACTGGGAGAGGCTTTATTCCTTACAGAAAGCAACGTATTCACAAGCCTCAAAACACGCACACCAGGTGGAAAGTTGACCCCTCGCTCTGCCCCACTTCACCCAAAGGCTTATGAACCCTTCGGGGCCAGTCTCTGGAGGGAGAAGTGGGCACGCTGACTCTCTTCCCATTGAGCCCCTGACTGGTCCAGCCGGCGGGTGTGTTGATGGGCCCTTGTGTCCGCATCTCCAGCGGTGTCAAGTTCTCCTCCCGAGAACCCCTGCCCGGCTTGTTCTCCGCCAGCTTCCTTCCCACAGTCAAGAGGGAGGGGGGCTCAGTGGTTGTCCTCGAAGTGCTCGGACCCAGAGCTGGCTCAACGGGGGTTTGCTAGTCTCAACAACTCCAATATCAGAGTGAGCACTCCGAGCTACGGCTGGGTCAGCTCTGCACTCCCCCTCCTCTGGGTCTAAGCTGTCATTCCCACCAAAGCCCTCCATCTCCCATGTGCGCCTGGGAACCTCACCCGAGTGCACACGCACGACAAGGATGTCCCAGGTCAGTGAGGGTGGGTTGTTGTCCTGGTTAGCAAACCACCCGCCACCCATGGTCTGCTTTGCTAACCGCAGCAACGAGTCACCCTGCCCTGGGTTCAGATGTCATGGTCAGGCACCATGTTTGAATATTCACAGTGGGGTCCAGTACGTGCCACAACCCCCATGTTTTATTTCAGCCACGGTGAGCACGTCAGCAGTCCGTGCTGTTTCCAGCATGAGTCTTCCTGGGCTCGCCGTGCTGGAGCCCAAGGGGCACCCACCACAGTAAGAGGGGAACAATGGCGGATTTGGGGTAACCCTGTGCATTCAGAAGCCCAAGAACTTCTACAAAACCCCTAGAAGGGCTTTTTACCACAGGATCCCTATAAGACCCCAGGGACACATACCGTTGCGACTCTGTGTTGAAAACACCTGGGTTGGTCAAAAACAGCATGGAGGAGCTTAGAGGCAAAGGGGGACCAGTCCATAGATCTAAAATGGAAACGGAGGAAGGCATCCCCGTCTCTGGAGGGGCCCTTGCTCAGTGGCCGCTGATAGGAAGGCGTGGGGGGGAAGGTGATTTGGAACAAGGGGAATAAAAGAGAAAGAAAGGAGGAGCGAGGAAACTCCCTTTTCAACAAGAAAAGAAGAGGGGCGGCACACTGAGTGCGAGAGAGCCAGCATGTAGGCAAAACGGCTCGATATTGACTAAGTGGCTTCCCGCTTACAAATAAGCACGATTGACAAGCTGGGCAGAGCAAAGTGAGCCTATTGTAGCCCACCAGGGGCCGGGCTGGATTGGGAAGAAGGGCCGGTGTTGGGGCAGCGCGGAGGAGGCGGGCGGAAAGAGGGTAACCTCTCAGTACCCTATTAGCCAATTAGGGGAAAGGAGGAGGGAACAAGCTGCCCGAGCAGGGTTCAAAAGGAGTGTGTGAACATGTGCTCAAGTGAACAGAACAACGGGAAGGAAACTGTGCCTTTCTGTTCCCTTCATTGCAATAAAGTTTTAAAAAGAACTCTGCATGCCTGGAATATTTTTCTCTTCCAACAGAAAGGAAAGAGTGCTTTTTAACAGCCGCAGAGAAGGAATCACTCAGGAAATGGCAAAGTGCGGGGAATGAGCAGGCGGGCTGTCAAGTGGGGGCACGGGAGGGGAGGAAGTGGCTGGAACGCTCAGCTGAGGTGGCCTGCACTGCAGGGCTTCCTTGTAGGGACCCAAGTATTTTTATGTATTTATGTATTTTTCGATTTATATCCTGCCTATTTCCTTCAAAGGGCTCAAGGCAGCTTCCATCATTCTCCTTCTCCATCTTATCCCCACAACAACAACCCTGTGAGGTAGGTTGGGCTGAAAGTCTATGACTGGCCCAAAGTCACCCAGTGGGCTCCATGGCCGAGCGGGGACTAGAACCCAGATCGTCTGAGTCCCAGTCCCATGCTCTTCACCACTACACCACACTGGCTCTCAGTGTGATTGGCCCCACCTCCATTCAGCTCCACTCTTCTTGTTAAGACTTGCTGGGCTTCCTTCATCAAATGCAGCAGGTGAAGGAGGCCCCAGCAAAATCCTACCAGAATCTCCACAACTTGCATCCTGCTGAAAATCGGAGCCTCCTGTAGCAACCTCTCCCTACAGAGATCAAATCGGTGCACAGCTGCCATTCTACAGTGACTGTATTCATACGCGTATCAATATGTTTTGCCTCTGATTAGATTTCTGCAGTGCACTGCTATATGTTTTCAGGGAAGTTTGCCATGAAACATGGAATCATAAAAATGCAATTAACATCCCTAAATCAACAGTTGAAAGGGTAGCGTAAAAACAGCCAGAAGATTGGACAGTAAGATTTTCAAAATAGTAATAACACCACAAGAAAATTAAAGGGTCTTCACATGTCACAGGCACTGAGTGACTCTCTGGGCTGAGGAAGACACATGTAGAAAGCCGTTAGAGAGAAAGTCCTTTTTCCTTCTTGTACTGTTCAGGAAAATTCTTTCGCTGAGTGGATATCAATTCGTGCCAAAGTCAAGGTAACCCCTTGTGCTTTTTAATCTTGTTCTGATGTGCTCAGAATCAGGAATGTGTCACATGGGAAGGGAGGGATTTATGCTTTCCCTGCAGTTCAGTATTGATAATTCCCCCCCGCCCCCAAAGCTAAATTTGAACCCGGAGGGAAGTTTTCGCTAGTGCTTTTCCTCCTGCTAGAAAAAGCAGCTTTGTATGTGCATGTGTGAAATTTCACTGGGTCCAAGCTGTTGGGACAAATGGGTGCTTCCCCTGCATCTTTTTCTAAATACTGAACTCCCTCCCTCTTGAAGTTCAGATAAAAGGGGGAAACCCCCCCGTTATTTAAAATGTGTCAAGGCCTTTAACCCGAACTCATGGTACACTTTGGCAGTAAAAAGGGCACCTGAGTGTGAAATTGACAAGCTAGTCCTTAGAATTTCTAATATAGACTTGTGAGCACAATACTCAAGGTATTTTATTACAAAAAAGGAAGAATTAAGAGAGGAACAAGCAATGAGAGAATACTAGTGAATAGTGCTCAACTGAACAGGATGGTCATCTTTCTGTGATAACTAGGCAGCTTTAGATAGAGAGAAAGCCCAAGGGGCCAAGAGGGAGACTCACACAGAGAGAATGAATGGAGAGAGGGCAGTTCAGGGCCTATACGGGCTGATGGCACCACTTGCTGCCACGGGACAGCCTCAAAATCTGCAGGATTTAGGTTGGAGTGAACAGGAAGTAGGTCTCCAGATGTTTTGGAGCATCCCAGACACCACTGGCCATGCTGGCAGCCATTTCTGGGAGGCAAGTTCCAAACACCTGGAGATTTATGTTCTGCCCACACCAATCTAGGGCTTCACACAAACAACCACCAGCTCCGCAAGTCCCAGACCACGCTCCCTCTTTTTGCTTGTCTGCGCAGCCCAGCTGATCCCTGTTCTTGCTGTGGGGCAGATGTCAGGGACAGAGGGAGAGAGCCCCAAGCACAGCCGTGCGGTCAGCACCAGAAGGGCTCCTCTTCTCAATCCATCACCCCCCCCAACCATCCCGGAAGAGTTACCTGCTAGGTGTGTCAAGCTGAAATCATGACTGGGCTCTGTGAAGTCAAGGAGGAGACTCTCCTTCATTGGGAGACTGTGAATTTCTTATTCTTCATGGGCAGAGAGAGGCGAGGTTACAACCAAGAGCAGGTCCCCTTGGAAGTGGCTCCCTGGTGCTCAAGTTGTCGCTGCCTGTGCCTTTTGCTGTTTTGGAGCAAAAGAGTGGCTTGAGACACTTCTTTATCATTTCCGAATTGCAAGTCTGAAGTATAAAGTCCAAGGCTCTGCAGGCAGGTTCAGCGCAAGGAAGGGCAGGGCTTCCGGCTGAGCAGGGTAAAAACTGAGCTATCAGGTGAAGTTACCTGGCACCTTCCAGATGTTTCTGGACTATTGATCTGACATCTGTGACATTGGCCATGCCTGTTGGGGCTTATAGGAAGTGCAACCAAAACACCTGGAGGACACAAGGTTGACTGCCCTGCCCCACAAAAGGGTCCTATATAAGATCCCTTTATTTCAGGCGCGCCTCTTATAAAATAACAATATTTCAACAGCAATGTTAAGAGCAAGTAAAACTTTAAATCTACAGTTTTAAAAAGGAGCCAAATAGAACCTGTGTTCATTAAATCTTTTTGGAAGAGAAGGAAGAGAGGAACCTGGTTTCTTCACAGGGAAATGACTCATCGAGGCAACTTTTTATTATATACGTGCAATTTCA